CTTAATATAATGTTTCTATACACAATAATTTTATAGTTTATATTTGAATTTTTTTTTTTGCAAACCGTCAATTGTATCATTCACATTTTTTAAAATAACATGTGTATCCACACATGTATTTTTATTTGTTTATAAATCAAAATTTGATGATAATGTATAGTAAAATTATTTTATATACTTTTTTAAAATCTGGTGTTATATATTTTACATTCTTCAGTATTTATCCTATTAAATTTATATTAGATGATCCGCCTAATCGCGCAAATATTTGTTTTCAATTTTAAAATTTTGCTCGTACCAAATTTATCATATTAAATTTTCGTTTATACAAAAAAAAATCATATTGAATTTAAGAATTGAAAATAAACTTAAACATCATCGAAAACAGTAACAGATTGACAAAAAAAACAATCTAAATTCAAACTTTTCTGCTTCCAGGATTCACCAACGATCTGCATATATCTTTTAATCAAACAAATATCAACTTCTACAAGGATAGCCAGCGGAGAGAGTTGAACGTGTGGTCTCGAGATTTGGTCTTTTCTGTGATAAATATTTTTTCTTACTTGCTAATAAAAATTTATTGGTTGCTTCCCATAAAAAAAAGTACCAGAACCCTATTGGAGTTTTGTTTAACCATATATTATTTGAGCCCAGATAACATAATCCAAATTATAATTATAATCTATTTTTATAATAAACATATTTGTTACTATTATTTTTTTTTAACTTAAACATATTTGCTATTGCATATACAAAATTATACAATTACATATGATCTAATTGAGTAATATATCCCCAACGTAATATTAAAACTTATTTGCATGTTATTATTTATTATATAATATATAATACATTATAACAAATTAATTAGAGACAAAGGGGTCAATATACCCAAATCGATGCAAAATTAAGAAAGTATCCGAATTATTTGCATCCCCCATTACTTTTTTACCTTTACAGCCTGGACAGGTACATTAATTCAGCGTGATTTCTGCACGTATAAAAATCTATTTTTTTAATAATTTATTCTTCATTATTTCTTTTCCATTCTCTTTCCTCCGTAAATGTTCGATGTTCACCATCTTCGTCCTCTTTCTTACATTTTTTCTCTGCAAAAGCTAAAAACGAGCACTGTTTCATAAACTGGTACAAGGAGGAAACAGATTCCATTTTGAGCATTCTGAATTTCAAATTCAAAACGATGAAACCCTTTCTTCTTCATTTTAGTCTTTATAAACCCTTTCTTCTTCATTTTCTTCATCTGTTCATTAAAAATGGGTGTAGAAATATACTTCAAGTTGTTCCAAACTGCATTCCGTAATGCTGGTGGTGTAAAGCCTACAGATTTTCGCTGCTTTGGAAGAACACCGTTGAAACCAGATTTGGGGAAATGGATCATACCAACCACCTCAGGTGAATTCAGGACGAAGCTGAAGAACTACCAAAGGTATTACAATGTGAGTAATGGGGTCAGGTTGGAGAATATGTTAAAGGATTCAGACAAATATTCCAGAAGCTATGCCGAAGAAGAGGAGAAAGCAAGGGAGAAAGGAGATCATGATGCTGCTGATAAGCTACAGAAGATGAGTATACAATGGAGCATGTTCAGTGAAGCACTTGGGGAGGAAAGAGAAGAAGTTGAGACCTACAGGATGTTTGTTGAAAAAGAGGTGGAGAAGAAGTTTAGTGAGTGAGGGATTTTGTTAAGTTAGAAGTGTGTTGTTCTTGTGTGGTTGCGTTGTTTCTTGTGTGGTTGTGTTTCACTGCCTATGTTGGTGGTTTGCTTGTAATGTTGTGTTGTTGTGTTATGAGTAAAGTGTTGTTGTGTTATGAATAAAGCTCTCCGTTAGAAGTATGTTCTTCTTGTTATATTATGTTGTCTTAAGGTAGTGTGTTCTCCTCAATCGATATAGTACGAAGAAGTGTGCTTAAATTTTAACTTATTGTAATGTGTGGTTGTGTTGTTGTGTCAGTGCGTATGTTTTGGGGTATTTAATTTGCTTTAATTTTTCTCTAATTTTGCTCTAATTTTGCTTTAATTTTTCTTTAATTTTATATTATTGTAATGTGTTGTTGTCAATTTAGTAAGTGAGAATGGGTTTTCGTTAAAGTTAGAAGTGTGTTCTCCTTGTTATGTTATGTTGTCTTAAGTTAGTGTGTTCTCCTTTATCGATATAGTAAGGAGAAGTGTGCTTTAATTTTAACTTATTATAATGTGTGGTTGTGTTGTTATGTCAGTGTGTATGTTGTTGATTTGCTTTAATTTTATATTATTGTAATGTGTTGTTGTCAATTTAGTAAGTGAGAAGGGGTTTTCGTTGAAGTTGGAAGTGTGTTCTCCTTGTTATGTTATGTTGTCTTAAGTTAGTGTTTACTCCTCAATCGATATAGTAAGAAGAAGTGTGCTTTAATTTTAACTTATTGTAATGTTGTGTTGTTATGTCAGTGCGTATGTTGTTGATTTGCTTTAATTTATATTATTGTAATGTGTTGTTGTTAATTTAGTAAGTGAGAAGAGATTTTCGTTGAAGTTAGAATTGTGTTCTCCTTGTTATGTTATGTTGTCTTAAGTTAGTGTGTTCTCCTCAATCGATATAGTAAGGAGAAGTGTGCTTTAATTTTAACTTATTGTAATGTGTGGTTGTGTTGTTATGTCAGTACGTATGTTGTTGATTTGCTTAATTTTATATTATTGTAATGTGTTGTTGTCAATTTAGTAAGTGAGAAGAGGTTTTCGTTTAAGTTAGAAGTGTGTTCTCCTTGTTATGTTATGTTGTCTTGGGTTAGTGTGTTCTCCTCAATTGATATAGTAAGGAGAAGTGTGCTTTAATTTTAATTTATTGTAATGTGTGGTTGTGTTGTTATCTCAGTGCGTATGTTGTTGATTTGGTTTTATTTTATATTATTATAAGATAGCTTTGACTCAGCAATTTCCGTTCATCTAGATTTCTCTTCTCTTTCTTCCAAATTCTTACAACTTGGTGGGAAAAACTATTTTCTCTGTATTAATTGAGATTTTTTTAGATCTTGAACATTATCAACTCTCTCTTGAATTTTTGCTCTGCAAATCCTAGAAATAAGCCATGTTTCATAAACTCGTACAAGGAGGAAACATATTCCATTTTGAGCATTCTGAATTTCAAATTCAAAATGTTGAAACTATTTCTTCTTCCTTTTTGTTTTTATAAACCTATAATCAATCATTCTTCATATATTCTCACTCACAAGCTTTATCTTTATCTGTTCACTAACAATGAGTTTAGAGAAATACTTTAAGCTATTCTAAACCGCATTTCTTAAATGCAAGTCTTCTGGAAGCACGAGCTTGACAGTAGAAGAAAAAAACATATGAAAAAAATGGCGGGAGAGCAACTTAAGATTTCATCCAAAAGCTTACTCACTTAATATAAAAATTTACACGTTAAAAAGAACATGAAATGTATTTTGCTTGTACTTGTTTTGAAAAGCAGCAATTTTGATGACAAAGATTGCGACTTAAGTATCATCCTTTGGTTTCACTTTCTATTGATTTACTTTTATTTAGGTAACAAAAAAACGAGAGATTATAGCTTAAAAACATGAAGCAATGCTCAAATGAAGTTCGATTGTCTAATAGCATTAGAGTTGGTTTAAATCGATTTACCTTTCATTTAATATCATTTAACTGTAACTAGACCATGACCCGTCCGACCGGGCGGCTGTTTTGTTTTCTTTTAATTTTTAGGTTTATACTAAATGGTGTAAAATAAAAAAATGAAGTATCAATTAAATGGTTACAAATTACTTATGGATTTAATTTTGATAGAAGAATACCGAAAAGTTTGATGTTTGATCCGCGCAAGTGTTTGTTTTTATATATTTTATAAGTGATAATATATATTTCTAAATTTACCCGTTTAAATAATTGTTTAAAATGACATTTTAAACACACGATTTTATAGTTTATATTGAGTAATTTTATTTTATCTTATAAACTATCATTGTGTAATACTTATTTTAAAAATATGACTTGTATATCTGCACAAATGTTTTTATTTTATTTTTATGGATCAAAATTTTATGATAATGTATAACTAAATTGTTTTATTAACTATTTAAAATATATGGTCCTATATATTTCTACTATTTAACTTTTATTATTCTGAATTTACCTTGAACTATTATTTATATAAAAATATACATAACATGATATGTTTATATTAATCATTTTATTATATATTATATAAATGTTTCTTTTTGTGACTTTTATTTTAGTTATTACTTATAAATAATAAATATATAATTATATATCTTTGAAAAAAATATTGTTCATTAACTATTTAAAGATATCTAGATAATTAATAAGAAAAAAAATCCTAAAAGGTAGGTTAATTATTATTGGAATTAATTATTATGTATATGGAATTAGTAAAACAATTTCTATATAAATTATTTATTTAATTACGAAAAGTATATATGAAAATAATTATTTTCATTAATTATTGTTGCCATAATTTTTTTTAGTTAAAATTTGATTTTGGAAATGCATTAATTAAAGTGAAAAGACAGTGGTATAACATTGTAAATAATTAGAAAAACTCGGGCGTATTTTATATGAGTACTTCTCTTTTAATAATATAGATAGGCTTAGTTAACGAGAAAGCCCATTTAATATCATTTAATTGTAATGGGCTTATAGTTAATGAGAAAGCCCAGTGGACCCAAGATCGGACTGTTTATAAGAACCCTAACTCGCAAGTCTGTTTTTGAACATCTTCCCTCCGTCCCGTCTCCTTGTCACTATCTTTCTCACCGACTAAAACCCTCCTCTAACTCTAACCATGGTTCGTTCTTCACCGCCGGAGTATATTCTTATTATCTTCCGTTTTCTCCAATTATGGAGAATTTGAGTGTGTGTATCGAATCACTGACTATTTCTTTCTGTTGTTTCATAATTTTGCAATATTGCTGGAAAAAACAGCCGCAGGGAGATCATATTGACCTGTTCCGGAAGAATAATGGACGTCGCTTTGACTACGAAGAGCGTAAGCGAAAGAAGGCGGCGCGTCAAGTTCACAAGCGCTCCAAAGATGCTCAGAATGTTCTCTCTCTTCTTCCACTTATCCTTTGTTTTTTTTCAACTTTTTGTTTTTTTGTTTTTTTGTTTTTTTGCTGATTTTGTGGTGAATTTTTGCAGTCTATAGGTATAAAGGGTAAGATGATTGCCAAGAAAAACTATAAGGAGAAAGCTCTTATGAAGAAAACGTAAGTATATTATTTTTATTTGACATCTTAAGTGTAGATTTTTTTTTTTATGTATAGCTAAGAAGACGTTTTATTCTAATAAGCAGTCTTGTGTTGTCTGATTTTTTATTTATTGACATTTGTTTTAATATATATTTTTTTTTTTGAGATGATAGATTGAAGATGCATGAGGAGAGTTTATCAAGGCGTAAAGCAGATGAGGATGTTCAGGAAGGAGCTGTTCCTGCTTATCTTCTTGATCGTGAGAACACCTCTCGCGCCAAGGTTTTGTTTTGTTTTTCTTTCGAGTTGATATAAGATAGCTCTGAAAAATCTGATGAAAACCGAATACATGACAAGTGTGTTTCTGTGTGTAGGTTCTTAGCAACACTATCAAGCAAAAGAGGAAAGAGAGAGTTGGGAAATGGGAGGTTCCTCTGCCAAAGGTGAAAAAAGAAAAACTCTCTTCATGATCATCTTCTTGTATAAACACTTAAGGAATAATCATTTTAGTATTCCTTTTTCAGGTTCGTCCTGTGGCTGAAGATGAAATGTTTAGAGTGATCCGATCAGGGAAGAGGAAGAGTATGTGTTCACTGATCATTGACAATATTAGTTTGCTTTGTAGCTAGTTTGTCACTTACAAGTATTGAAATGTTCTCTCTTTTTGCGTCAACTATACAGCAAAACAGTGGAAGAGAATGGTAACAAAAGCTACATTTGTTGGACCTGGTTTCACTAGGAAGCCACCAAAGTACGAGCGTTTCATCCGCCCTTCTGGACTGCGTTTCACCAAGGCACACGTCACTCACCCTGAACTAAGATGCACTTTCTGTCTTGAGATCATTGGAATCAAGAAGAATCCCAACGGTCCAATGTATACTTCACTTGGTGTCATGACTAGAGGAACAATCATTGAGGTTAGTTACTTACTCCCAAGATACATATTGGGTTCTTTTGGCACGTATGCTAAAAGCTGGAATCATCTCTTGAGATTCTCATATGTGGGATTTGATTTGCAGGTCAATGTGAGTGAGCTTGGTCTTGTTACACCAGCTGGAAAAGTTGTCTGGGGTAAGTGATCAATAATATATAGAGAAGCTTGTGCGTAATTGCAACTGTTAAGACACTGCCTTAACTCTCAATTTGTTTTTACTTCAGGAAAATACGCTCAAGTGACGAATAATCCAGAGAATGATGGATGTATTAACGCCGTTTTGCTTGTGTAATCCAAAATATCCAGCAGTGTCAGAGAGATAGATTTCTGGACACAGTCAAGAAGAAGGGAAGAATCATGACAGTTACTTTCTCTTTAGTTCTATTTTGAAAACATCTTTTTAATGTTATCTCAAGCTTTTTATCACATTTAACCAGCTCTTACAGCTTTCTAAGGTTCCACAATGTTAGATCAGTTACGTCATATATAAAGTATACAAGTGGAAAGTTTACTTATTCAAAATTTTAATAGAAATACAAGATGCATCAGTGAGATATAAAGAAACTTTAAGTTTATATATCAGCTTGTGGTTCGTAAGGCAACGGCTGAGTAATCGACACAGCTTGACCGTCTGTGCCATTGTTCTTCCTTGAAGAAACAGCAAAGCCCGTTTTGCAATATATGGCGAAATCCTCAGTTCTTGATAACGACAAAGCGTCCAGTTTCGTTTCGAAGGAGGTGTCTGGCTCGGTGGATGATTCAATCGATTAGAATTGGAACAGTAGATACCGTGATGAGCATTTATTAAACAGTCCACGAATAGAGATAATTGGGCTGTTGTCAACAGACAATATAATGGGCCTGTGATATGATGGAAAGGTGAGCCTCAAATATTTATCATATTTGCAATTATTTTTTACTTATTTGTGTGTTTTAATGAGATTTGGTAATATATATGTAGATATTTATTAAAATTGTAAAAGGACTACGGTCCAATAATATAATTAATACACACATATATTCTTAACATTTTAGTTTTAATTTTTGTATTGTTTTTTTTTTCTTCTTGTCAACATGTTTCAGCATAATATAGAAATCTTTTAATTGCGAGTAAGAATCCTACACAACTTTGAATGAATAGTCAAGAATCAAAGAGATAAAAACAGACAAGTCACAACTAAAACATAATGGATATAGAAATTTCCCTATTCAAAAGATAGTGTCAAAACATTAAAAATGTAATATATATTCTAGATAAGATAATGATTAATATATATATCCACGAATATAAATTAATTAATACATTGTATATATATACGTATTCATATAATTCATGGTCTGTCTAGCAACATACATAACCGAAGCAGAAACCCAAAAAATCATTTCTGCCTTCAAAGCTTTTGGCCTGTAACGAATCTCCAGAGAAGTAAGAGACTGACTAAAAAAGGCTAAAAAACCATACAGACACACTTTCTCTCCCTTTCCAAACAAACTCTTCAGATTCTCTAAGAAAATATTGTTTTTCCTGAGTGTGTGTGTTTTGTCTCTTTGTAATAGATTCTTCTTTTGTCTCTCCCATTTTTCTGAGATTCAGTGCCCTGATTTTCTCGTTAAAAAAAAAACGATTTTTGTTTTTGAATTGGTGATGTACATAGAGCGGAGAAGACAAAGAAGTCCAGAGATTTTGTGTGTTTGGGAGTAATTTGATTACTTTTTGTCTTTGATCGTAAAAATATGAATCCGTCTCTCACGGGGAAACAACCGAGTCTCCGTCGAAGTCTATCAATGCCGCCGCTGTGCTGCGGAGGATCTACACCGGCGGAGTTTTGTGGCGGTGCGACGGCGAGTTGCGCCGCCTTATGTTGCTGCGCTCCTTGCAGCTTGGTTAGTCTCGTCGTCTTCGCTGTTTACAAGGTCCCTCGCCGAATCTGCCGCCACATTATCCGTCGTGTGCGGCGGCGGAGAAGGCGGAGGATATCGAAGAAGGAGGTTTTGGATAATGGAGATTGCGACAAGAAGCTGAGCAAAGTAGGGAGCTCACAGTTCGCTATTCATCCGTTAGAGAGCAAAGACGACGAAGATTTGGATAAATTAGCATTTTATTTGTCAGAGGAAGATGAAGACGATGAAGTTGTTGCGTTAGAGAAAGAGATGTGGAGACGATTTAACAGTGGAGGTTTCTGGCGTAGCGTTTCACAAGATGAAACGACGTCGTACGATAACCGATTAGATTCCAAAGTGTAATAAAGCAGTGTGAAATGTAGATGATCTTGTTCATAGTTCAATAAGTTCGCATAATAAGAAATCAAAAGATGAATGTATTTGTCTAAATCGAAACTTTTTTTTTAGAGGAATCATTAGCATGTACTGATGTACAACGTTAATTAAGTTTAGCCGTACAAGTAGACCACTAGCTGAAGAGTGAAGACTCTACTCTAAAGACACTTTTTATTCATAGAATATTGTAGTCAAATCATCGTCAAAAGCTAAGTTTAATGCGTAATCTTTAGGTTCATGAACTAAGTTGACAGTGATTGGATCAAAAACTATGGCAACACAACAATCTATGAGTTTGTTTACACATGATAACAACAAAAAGTTATATAGAGATTTATTTTTATTAAATTATTGAGAGAGTGGAGAAAAGACATGTGTATGGATTTGGAACGTGGCATACATACCCTAATGAATAGTCTAAGTAAGTAGGGGATCAATCAGTGTGACGAAAACAGTGGTGGATGACATCCACAAACCGAAGATTCACAAAACCACATCAAAACTATTAGCTAAAATACACAAAACATAAATGTTGAGTTTTGGTTTGGTACTAATAAGACGTGTTAAGTCTCTGTGCAATAGATACGGAAGAAGCGTGGGATATGGAATATAGAAGTGCTATAGCTAGAGTAGTAGGTGTGACAGCTTAGGGCTAGAGAGGGTCAGGTCAGGTGGTAAAATAATAAAGGAGGTTGAGTGAAACAAGTGAATAAAGTTAAGTAACAAGGGTTCCATGTGAATCCAGAGTACAGTGTGTGTCTTCGTGTAAACTGTCCTTTTCTTTCTTTACCACTTTCTCTACTGTGGGGACCCTTTTGATTTTCTTTTGTTGTATCTAAACATTGATTCACTCACTTCCTACCACCACGCCACTCCTTTCCTCTCCAATATTTATTGAACTCTTTAATTTTTTTTCCTCTTTTATCTCTACTTACAATAACTTTTTTGTTTAGTTTCAAACTGTCTTACAATAGAAATGTTCAGCTTGTGATGCGACATTTTTTCATGAATTTTAGTTTGCGGTGAATCCCATGCATTACGTCTTTCAATAACATTAAGGGGAGGAGAACTTGGTATTCCATTTTGTCTTCCAATAATACATTTTCTTGTTCACTCCTAAATAAAATTCATGTAGAGTACAACCCAATCCAGTCTGAATTTATCAATCATGTAATTCTCATAAAAGAATATGGACTTTTAATACAGATTAAGTCTCGTTTTAATATGTTTGTACTCTCTCACAATTATTATTTAATTTTATAAGTTTATAAATGTGGAATCCTGGATACAATGTAATGAGCAGCATGGTATTGAACTGTTGTATTAAAAGTCCAATTATTATTTAATCGTATAATTTTCTCTATTTAGTCTACTTGTCGTGTTTCCTAGTTAAACATAAAAGAACTACAAATCACACATTACAAAAAATGTTATTCTGCGAAAAAGTTAATCATGAGATAAGACTATTGCTGTTGGGAGATTTGAGCAACCTGAGCTACAAGAGCAAGGTGGTGTCATCATGAAGATTCCCTGCTGCTCAAATCATAACTCTAGTCGTCTTATGTAAAAAGGTTGAATTCATGGTTAGGCTAACGATAGTCCACGACCACGTTTGTAAGCTTTATAAAAGTGAGAAAAGTTTGAAAGACCAAGAGGCTTGAGAGGATGTAACGAACTCACTGGAGGCGATCAATGTTCAAGATACAACTAGTGATGTGTTCTTTAAACGAGTGATATACATTTGTGGACCCTCACATACTGATCCCAAACTTAAAAGCAACACATAGCAATACCTCGGGACTATAACGAAATGGGCTAAGCGGGCCAGAAGGCCCAATGCGCACATAAGTTCACAAACCCAAGTCATACTTACTAGATTAGTGGACTATTTAGATGGGAAGTTTACGTCCCAAACCGACAACTTTCGTTTAAAGCCACGTGTTCCTCGGTTCCTCATTGCTTCACAATCACATTCACTCGCATGAGTCTTTTTAGATTGTTCTTCACAATAATTTCACTTTCAAGTTAAGTACTATTATCACTTTTAGGGAAATTGCATGCAGTAACATTCAAAAAAATTATAATTCATGAACTAACCAAAAAAAAAGTCAAAGCGATATTCTTTGTATATTATATAATAATACCTCTTTTGTCCTTTCTCTTTCTTCTCTTACCAGTTGTATCTTTCTTCTCTGTTCTTTTATTTTTTTTTCTCTGTTTTTTTTGTTAATTACATTACATGATACAATCATTTTATCTCCGATCAGTCCACTTCAACTATTACTTTACGTTTATTTGTCGGATTTACAGTATCATCCATTTTGATCTCCTTTATCCTTGTTCATTTCCTCTTCTCTCCTCCAATATCATCAATACATCTCCTCCATTATAGATTTTACCATCTTTCATTATTGTTGATTTCGATATTGTTCATCGTTACTGATTTTTTTATCTGTTGTCAATCTCTTGTTTCACCAAACATTTTTTGTCAACATAACTGAGAAACAACGATCGACAATGATCGACAATGATATCAAAGACGGAAAGGAAAATGGTGTTATCACTGTAAATTTTAAGTTTATACTATTTGCTAGACATTTATAGTATAGTATTCGTTTAATATAGTATAGTTTACTATGTGAAATATTATATACTATTTTGAAGTTTATTTGATATAAATTATTATAAGTAGATGTCTCATTTTATGTTTGGGTTTAGGGTTTAGTGATTAGGGTTTAGGATTTAGTATTTATGTGATGGGGTTAGGGTTTGAGGTAAGATTTATGATTATTATTTATGAAGTTTCTTTACTATTTATCTATTAATTCACTATCAATTCCATACTATTTATATATGATGCTCAATCTTTATTACTTTATATAATGTAAAGGGAATATAACATCTATTTGTACTATTTGTGGAATTCTACACTATCTATGTTACTTTATATAGTGTAAATGGTTTTACTCATCGCGGTCTGTCTTCTCTTCCACCATCGTCACAATCCGTTATCTTCTTCTCTTACACTTATTGTACCAACAACGGAATATCATCTTTGACCACTGATATGATTGTATAAGCATTTGGATCTATTTGTAATTGAAGTAGCCTACATATATTGTAAGAATATAGTACATTCTTCTGATCGTATAGTATTGAACTCCTGCATGTATATATGAATCGCAGTTTGTGGGTTTCTTCTTGGAATGAACTGTTGTTTCTAACCAACAAAACTAAATAGAATAGTATGAGTTAATGTCGAATAGAATAGAAACATTGTATTTGTTGATAAAAGTTGTACATAGAATCTACTCTTTTTAGATTTTGATTTTTGGATTTATGATTTATATTTGAGTTTAAGGTTAATATTTGGGTTTAGGGTTTAGTGATTGAGGTTTAAAGTTTAGTATTTACAGGGTGGGATTAGATATATGATTCAAAAATTCAATACTTTACATAACTAATTGATAATTTTAATAAATTCTTCTAAACTCTATTTTCATTTGTAAATAGAATAGGCTTTTTATTCTATATTATTTATGGATGTTGTTCTATTATATTGGTTCTTACATAGAATACAATGGTGCTAGCGTTGCTCCTTTTTTTTTATCTTCCTTTATTTTGCTATTAATTGGATAACTCATGTTCATTCCAGCAAATATCAAACACGTATCTTTCTCTCCAACCGGCAACTTGCAACTATTAGGGACAAAACCGGATTTTAGTTGGGCTAATTGTCAGCAAATGAATTCTGTCAAAATCAGTGCCATATTCTTCATTTTCCTTAGTGTTTTGTATATTGAGCAAATTTTCCCTTCCTTTTAACCAAACTACATATTTTTTTTCGCTTACATAAAAAAAAAAAAGAAGTTCAAAGCTAAAGTCAGCAAAACATTATAAAAACTCGAGTGGGTCCCAACACCAGCCTGGTCCGAAAGGTCGAAAACCCCAAAACTACACAACACAGACACACAACCAAACTCATCAATCTCTCTCACAACACTTCCACTTGCCATCGCCGACACTTCAAGACATATTAAAAAGAATAAAAATAAAACAAAGTAAACTCTTTATTTCTTTCTTTCTTTCTTTCACCCCACAGAAAAATTATTGTTCCATCTTTCTCCTCATTATTCGATCTAACATAACAGAGCTCCCATGGATCGTCGCATCTATGGTGGCTCCTCCGCCGCCACTAATCTCATCCTCTCCCTCCTTTTCTTCTCCGCCGCATCTGCATTATCCAAAAACCAGATTCCTTCCTCCTCCGGGTCGGGTCAGATCAACTCCAACTCCGTCCTCGTAGCTCTCCTCGACTCTCGTTACACCGAACTCTCCGAGCTCGTCGAGAAGGCTCTCCTCCTTCAGACACTAGAAGAAGCCGTTGGCCGTCACAATATTACCATTTTCGCCCCACGCAACGAAGCCTTAGAGCGCGACCTTGACCCTGAGTTCAAACGCTTCTTGCTCGAGCCAGGGAATCTCAAATCTCTCCAGACGCTTCTCATGTTCCACATTATCCCCAACCGGGTCGGGTCGACCCAATGGCCCGACGAGAATTCGGGTCGGGTCAAACACGAGACGCTAGGGAACGATCATCTCCATTTGAGTAAAGGAGACGGGAAGAAAATGGTCGACTCGGCTGAGATTATCCGACCCGACGACTTGACCCGACCCGACGGGTTGATCCACGGGATCGAGCGGCTTCTCATCCCCCGCTCGGTTCAAGAAGATTTCAACCGCCGCCGTAGTCTCCAGTCAATCTCCGCCGTCTTACCGGAAGGAGCTCCGGAGGTTGACCCGAGAACAAACCGTCTCAAGAAAAAACCCGCTCCGGTACCCGCCGGAGCCCCGCCGGCTCTCCCGATCCAATCCGCGATGGCTCCAGGTCCGTCGTTGGCTCCGGCGCCGGCTCCGGGACCGGGAGGCAAGCACCACCACTTCGACGGCGAGGCTCAGGTCAAGGACTTCATCCACACGCTGCTGCATTACGGCGGTTACAACGAGATGGCGGACATTCTCGTGAATCTGACGTCGTTAGCGACGGAGATGGGTCGTTTGGTGTCGGAAGGGTATGTGCTAACGGTTCTTGCTCCTAACGATGAAGCCATGGCGAAGCTGACGACGGATCAGTTGAGTGAGCCTGGTGCTCCGGAGCAGATTGTGTATTACCATATTATCCCTGAGTATCAGACGGAGGAGAGTATGTATAACTCTGTGAGGAGGTTTGGGAAGGTGAAGTTCGATACGCTGCGTTTTCCTCATAAGGTTGCGGCTAAGGAAGCTGATGGTTCGGTTAAGTTTGGGGACGGTGAGAGGTCGGCGTATTTGTTTGATCCGGATATTTATACGGACGGTCGGATCTCGGTTCAGGGGATTGATGGTGTTTTGTTCCCTGAAGAGGAGGAGGTTGTTGAATCGGTTAAGAAACCGGTTAAGAAAGTTGTTCAGCAGAGAAGAGGTATGTTTTTTTTTTGGTTTCATTGATCTTATGGCTGCGTTTACAATTGGAAAGTTTAGATTATTAAATTTTAGTTAAGTGATTAGATGTTTGATTTGTCTGATTGAAGTAGTCTCTAGTTGTCTTGAGAGTAGTAGTTTTGTAGTAAGATCTTTGTAGCCCATGAAAGCCAATTCAGGATGCTGCTACTAGTAGCAAGAGGTAGAGTTATTAGAAGACAACAGATTTGTTAGAATATTGGTCCATGGTTAGTACTAAGCACAAACAAGAATGTGTATGTTTGGTCACAACTCTTAGCTAGGCTGGCTATAAGCATCTTGTCACGTTTGGTATCTTTAAGTTGGTTTGTTATTGCTGATAGCTTTTTAGTAAAGTAGAAATAATATATACTAATAGCTAAGGGAATCATAGACAGGCTAGTGTCTGTGTAATTTGTGATGTGACTTTGAGATAACAAACGTGTTATTGTTGTGACTGAAACAAAACAGGGAAGTTGTTGGAAGTAACATGTAGAATGCTTGGTGCTTTTGGCAAGGACAGTTATCTCAGCAGATGCCAGTGAATTCACAAACCCACCAAAGACACATTTAAAAAGGTTAGGACATTTGGCAATGTTCATTTGTGGTCTGTTTAAGCGTGTATTGTTGTCTGAATTCATATATTTACTCAGCTGATTGAAGATATTTGGCATTGGGTGAATAGAAAACGGAAGAGAGGATACCGATCTTCCATGGAGTGAAAAGGATGTTTTGTTTTCTTTTCTTACATATATATACTTTTGAGAGGTGTTTTATATTTGGTCTTGGATTTTATGAATACTGTAATTAGATATATCAATCATTTATTTATTTGTTTTTGTGGTGTATGAGACTGTGAGTACAATCAATAAAAAAAAAGGGAAACAAAACCTTTCTTTCGTCTTAAGGATCGGTTGTTTCGTTGGTCTCATTGGCGTTCACCATGGGGAATGTATATTTTCATTTGGTCTGGTAAGAGAATATAAATCAAACTATGATTAGATGTCTTTAGTTTACTGTTGTGGGAGAATGTATTTTCTTTTATAAATAATGAAATATTTGGAAGAATATATGAGGATTCACATGGACATGGGAGATGAGTTGTCTCATGGCTGTGATTGGAAGACAAACACAAACTTAGCTGTCTCCATGTTAGTCATCGATGCCTCTCTCTATTATTCATTTGGTATTTCAATCCAATAAGAGAGAGAGAGAGAGTTGACAGAATAAACATAAGAAAAGTTGTGTAGCGTCAATAGAAAGCCAGGACCATTTTTTTTAGAGAAATCAAATGATCTAAGATCAGTTAAAAGATGAAAAACTGACCACAAAAATGGAAAATCTGCGAAAGCTAACCTTGTGTTTTATCTCGATCTGTCAATGTCTAAAATCAGTTCTCACTTTAGCTGTGTAACAATGTAAAAAAGAAGAAGTCCAGTTACTCTAGCAAAGACTTGTTGGGCTTTAAGTTCAAGAAGAATTGTCGGTTTAAACAGAGAGTGTTTGCTTTAAGTTCAAGAAGAATTGTCGGTTTAAACAGAGAGTGTTTTATTTTCAGAGTCCCACATCGCTAAAGAAACAAGCGTTGAAGGCATGAGAAGGAGTATAAAAGAAGAGACCAGACGAGCGAACAATTCATACCTTTCTCGGCCTTTTGGCTAAGATCAAGTGTAGTATCTGTTCTTATCAGTTTAATATCTGATATGAGGTCCATCGGGCCTCACGATATTAACTCTATTTTTTGAGGGAGAAAGTCCACTAAGATAGCTTGCTATCTGGGCTTTCGTGAGTCGCCCATGCGTTGCACTATAGCACGGGCCGGCCCAACCCGCCAATAATCCAGTCCAATTATGAATCAAGTAAATACAACAATTTTGTTAGTTGGCCCATAGAACTTTTTTATTTTCGAAAAATTGACCCAATGGGCTTGTTCACGTAACTTATTATACCGTGAAATGTAAATTGTTTCTTGACAAAAACAGCACGAAACAAATTGTTTAACGATATCTAACCGCTCGATTTTGACCGTTATTTTCTTTCACCCCTTCTTACCAATTGCTGTCGGAATTGACTTTTAGACTGAAAACAAAAGACAGCAATGAAAGCTTTGTTACGATGCTCAAAGTCTCTCTTAATTGATCCAACAAGAAGAAACTCTGTACTTGTCTCTGCTTTCTCAAAGTCATCGAAATCCAAAACCCGTGACACTAAATCGAAGATCCAAGCAGAAGCTACGTCAATCACCTCACTCTTTAACGAGATCACAGAGATTTTAGGATCACATGTTGTTCAATCAGACCAAACTAACCAGCTGAGAGTTCCGGTGTCGGAAGAATCTAATGGCGATGAAGCATTGGTGTCTTGCACGCAATGTGTTCGTGAAAATGCTAGCGTCGGATTTTCAAATGTAAATGAAGAAGCTAACCAATGTGGTGGTGTTGTTGTTTCTGAAGAGTTCGATGTCAGTCCTCTTGTTCATGAGATTACGAGCGTCATCAGGGAAGATGACGATCTCATGGCTTCCATGGAGGACAAGTTAGAGAAACTGAGTCTTCGGTTTGAACCAGAGATTGTAGAGAAAGTACTCAAGAGGTGCTTTAAAGTTCCTCATTTAGCTCTGAGGTTCTTTAACTGGGTGAAAGAAAAGGATAGTTTTTCACATACAGTAGGTGTTTACAACACTATACTGAGCATAGCTGGGGAAGCTAGGGATCTCGATATGGTAGAAGAATTGGTGAAAGACATGGAGAAGAACTCGTGTGATAAAGATATTAAGACATGGACTATTCTCATCTCTGTGTACGGTAAAGCGAAAAAGATTGGCAAAGGGCTGCTTGTTTTTGAGAAAATGAAGAAAGATGGTTTCGAACCAGATGCTGCGGCTTATAATATCATGATTAGGTCTCTATGCATTGCTGGGAGAGGAGATCTCGCGCTTGAATTCTACAAGGAAATGATTGAAAAAGGTATTACTTTTGGCGTGAGAACGTACAAGATGTTATTGGACTGTACAGCGAAAACAGAGAATGTTGAGGTAGTTCAGTCTATTGCAGACGACATGGTTAGGATATGCGAAGTTTCAGAACACGATGCGTTTGGTTATTTGCTCAAGAGTTTTTGTATCTCTGGAAAGATTAGAGAGGCGCTGGAGCTGATTCGGGTGTTGAAGAGCAAGGAAGTGTGTATTGACGCTAAGTATTTTGAGATTTTGGTTAAAGGACTTTGCAGAGCTGATAGGATGGTAGATGCTCTAGAGATTGTTGATATAATGAAGAAGAGGAACATGGATGATTTGAATATCAACGGGATTATTATCAGCGGGTATCTTAGGCAAAACAATGTTTCTAAAGCACTTGAACAACTTGAGGCTATAAGAAACTCGAAGCATTCACCGAGAGTCTCCACATATTCGGAGATTATTCAGCATCTATTCAAGGAGAAAGAGTTTCAAAAGGGTTATGATTTGTTTAAAGAGATGGCGGATGATGGGATTGAGCCTGACAGCGTGGCTATCACAGCCGTGGTTGCTGGTTACTTGGGCCAAAACCGAGTAGATGAGGCGTGGAAGGTGTTTAGCAGCATGAAGGAAAAGGGGGTTAAACCGACGTGGAAATCTTATTCCATCTTTGTGAAGGAGCTTTGTAAGTTAGCTAAATATGATGAGATCCTAAAGCTACTTAATCAGATGCACGCCTCCAAGATTGCTATCAGGGATGATATGTTATCTTGGGTTATCTCTTGTATGGAGAAACATGGCGAAAAGGAGAAGATTGAACAAATCAAAGCGCTTCAGAAAAAATGCACATTCCATACAGAAGAACTAGGGCAAGAAGAGGAGCTTGTTGATGACTGTAATCATCCGCAAGTAGTGCAGCACTCAGCTCTTCCACCAGCTTCATCTTCTGTTGACATATTGGATGTGCAAGAAATTTCTCGCATCTTATCATCCTCCCGAGATTGGGAGAGAACACAAGAATCTCTAGAGAAATCGACAGTGAAGTTCACACCAGAACTAGTAGTTGAGGTTCTTCGTAATGGCAAGATACATGGCAACGCTGTTTTACGTTTCTTTTCATGGGTGGGAAAGAGAAATGGTTACAAACACAGTTCCGAGGCATACAACATGAGCATCAAGGTAGCAGGGTGTGGAAAAGATTTCAAGCAGATGAGAAATCTGTTTTACGAGATGAGAAGACAAGGCTGCGTGATAACACAAGACACATGGGCAATCATGATAATGCAGTATGGTAGAACCGGTCTAACCGATATTGCCATTAGAACATTCAAGGAAATGAAAGATACTGGTCTGTCTCCTAGGCCTTCGACCTTCAAGTGTTTAATCACAGTGCTTTGCGAGAAGAAAGGCAGGAATGTCGAAGAAGCCATCAGAACATTCCGCGAGATGATTCGTTCAGGTTTTGTTCCAGATAAAGAGTTAGTTGAAGACTACTTGGGATGCTTATGTGAAGTCGGTAACACAAAGGAGGCGAAACATTGTTTGGATTCTCTAGGAAAGATAGGTTTCTCAGTCCCTGTGGCTTACTCCATTTACATAAGAGCTCTTTGTCGGATTGGAAAGCTAGAGGAAGCTCTGTCAGAACTAGCCAGTTTTAAAGGAGAGAGGTCTTTACTGGACCAGTTTACTTATGGAAGCATTGTTCATGGTCTATTACAGAAGGGACAGTTACAAGGAGCATTGGATAAAGTGAATTCCATGAAGGAAGTAGGAATAAAACCTGGTGTCCATGTCTACACATCTCTGATTGTTCACTTCTTCAAAGAGAAACAGATCGACAAGGTACTAGAGACATGTAAGCAAATGGAAGAAGAAAGCTGTGAACCAACGGTTGTTACATATACAGCAATGATATGTGGGTACATGACCCTGGGGAAAGCGAAAGAGGCTTGGAAAGTATTCAATGATATGAAAGAGAAGGGAACTGCACCAGATTTTAAAACATACAGTAAGTTCATAAACTGTTTGTGCCAAGCAGGTGAATCTGAAGATGCACTGAGACTTTTGTCTGAGATGCTGGATAAGGGTATTGCTCCAAGCACTGTCAATTTCCGAACAGTTTTATATGGGTTGAACAGAGAAGGCAAACAAGATCTTGCCCGGAGTGTTTTGCAGAAGAAGTCTGCTTTAATAGCACAGAGAAAGGTATCTACATGAGCTCTCTTTTACTGAAATTGTAATGTAGATTCTTTATCCATGGGAAAACCTCACTCAAACGGTCCAAATCAAATATTTTTCTTAATAAAGAATCCGTCAATGCTCTTATTACAAAGTCTTTAGTTCTATATAAGTAACATGAAGCTAAGATACTTTTATCATATGATGTGTTGCCTTCAAAGGATATAAGGCTTTTAAGAAAAAGAACAAAAAAATGGTTTTATCTTTATGGAAGACTACTCTTTCCTCATAGCTTCTTGACAATTTCTTCACAAGCTCGCTCGTAGTAAGTCATTCTCTGAATACATTTTACAGCTTCATCAAACCTGTGGCTTTCAAAGGCTTCAACAAAAGAGTCAGACCATTGCTTCAGTTTCTCTTGTACCTTGACAACAAAACCAGAGTGATTAATCAGTGTAGTACATTCAACCAATGCCCAAAGCTGCAGATGCTAAGGTGTTTGAAAAGCTAAAGAAGTTAAACGAAAGACCAAAGCATCTGAAGGAAATCAGATGAATCAGAATGTTCAAGGTACCTGAGATCTGATCTGGTCTAACTCTTTTGAATCATTTGCTTCTGCAATCGACTCTCGGAGTTCCATAATCTGACACCATATTTCATAGAACAAAACTAAGTGAATGTGTATACTTGTAACTGATAAGTGTGTTTGCAGTCGCACAAACATTTTTTATGAGTAGAGATCCATTTACCTCCATTAACAAGGTTGGATCTGTTATTGTTTCTTCTTCATTGACATGTTTACCATTCAGCTTCATCTACAAAACGGAACCAATTTCAAATATTATTATTGTCCAAATCAGTTAGCAACAGCATAAGGTTCAACAGCAGTGTAAGTGAAGAGCTTACGATATACATTGCCCTTGACAGTCTCTTGGTTAATGTCCGGTAAGCTTCAGTAACCTTTGCAGACTGGTCCGCTGCGTAATCTCTTTCTTTCTATTAACAATTCAGATTCAAAACAGAGAGACAACTGAAAGAGAAAAACATGAGAAGAAGAAAGTAATAACATGTGGTGAAACAGAAGAGAACCTGAGATTTGTTGTGAACTAAATCAGGATGAAGCTTCTTCTGCCAGTCTTTGTATTTGCCTTCAAGGCTTCCACCATCTAACTCATACTTCCTCTCCCTATTAAAACACCCAAATTCAAAGCTCTCATCTTTTGCACGATCAGCTACTAAAAGTATTAAACTTTATATTCAATGAAGCGTGTGAAATGTAATTTACAAGCCAAATATCTGAAAGTAATCGATTGAATCATCGATTGGTTGAATGCTGCGGCACGAGTCACAGAACAAAAACGCAGCTTTTTCAGACGAGAAACCACAGTTCCAGCACACGGTGATTCTCTTGTCGGAAGACCCCGAGCAAAAACGTCTCCTGGAAAATCGGAGCTCCTGAGCTGAAGGAGAAGGTTGCAGCGATTCGTGGCTCCAGTGGGATTCTGAATTAGCCGAAACGGTCGGGAGGGGATCGCACCGGAAAGTAGGAGAAGGATAAAAGGTTCGTCTTGTTAAAAGGGTGGAGACTGAAGCAACCACCTTCTTTGCTCTGTTCATTTGGTGACGACGAGAAATAGAGAGACAATGTCAGGCTCTCTCGAGAGAGAGAGATCGTCGTAAACCACTTGAATATATTTGCCTTAGTCGAACCAAACCGGTTAGGCGTACCGGTTAGAATTATTAATTGACTTGGACCAAGCACTAATTGGAGTAACTTTTGGTTATGAGTAAACAGCTTGGCGAGGCATCTCCTCTATAGCCCATAAATCTCATTCTCTAATCTTTCTAGGACACATTTCTTCTTTTAATTTTATATGTCAAACGAAAAATCATAAAATTAATCTGAAAACGTGAATATTTTTTATTTGATTTATAAAATTTGATAAAAATATTTCAAAATTCAAAAAATTAAATTTTGATATTTTCACGAAAATCATCAAAATATGATTAAAAACGATTTTAAAATATATTTTTTTCGAAATTTGATCACTATAGAATTTAAATCTTTGTCCAAGGGTTCACTAATCCATTGGGGGGGTTTTTGTTTAGTTTTGAACATCGGGAATGATTTAATTAGGGGTTTGGATTTTGATCAAAAACAAAAATTATGAAATAGGGGTATAAGAGATCTTGTGAGGCCATAAGAGATTAACTTAAAAAAATAGGGGCACGAGAGAAGATGCCTCCAGCTTGGCTCTGTTTCGGATGACTTGCTGATAATTATACATCAAGGATAAAGCGCAACGGCTTTGATGAGTGAATACACATTTCTTTTTCAACAATATAGACACAAACTCCTTATTATTTAAAACACAAACTATTATTATTATTATTTTTTGGTTTAATTACAAGAAAAGCTGAAACAAAAATCACAAAAAAGTCAGACACTATCTCTGTTTCAAGAAACAAAAGCAAATCCTTTAAACCTTGCTGTTCTTCGCTTCTGGAACTGCATCCTGAGGCTTCATTAGTGGGAATGTAATAACTTCCTGTGACAACACAAACATTTCAGTAAGACAACACTATCTCAGTTTAGTATTTTTAAAAAGTGTGAGATTCAGATGAATAAATAAAAATAAAAAGAAAGAGAGTGGACCTTAATGTTCTGGGAGTCAGTAAGCAACATAGCAAGCCGGTCTATTCCTAACCCCCAACCACCTGTAGGAGGCAATCCATACTCCAAAGCTGTGCAAAAGCTCTCATCCATAGCCATTGCTTCATCGTCTCCACTTTGTCGATCCTGCAAAAAATATCATCTCAACATTTCAAAACAATGATACAACAGAGAGAGGCTCTGATATATGATTTTCAATTATTATACCTTGAGCTGATCAGCAAAACGCTGACGCTGCACCACTGGGTCGTTCAACTCAGTGTACGCATTGCAAAGCTGCATTCCAACAAAATCAGTTTTAGTATAAAGTAACCACACTCTTAACCATATAAGAGATCGTTATCTATATTAGCTTACTTCGTGTTGGTTGATGAACAACTCAAACCGTTCAGTCAAGCCCTTGATGGATCTGTGCGACTTAGCCAAAGGACTCATTATCTCCGGGTGGTTCATTATGAAAGTGGGGTTAACACATGTCCCTTCCAGAAAGTGTCCAACAAGCTGCACAGTTTTAAATCATTTGCCTCAATAAACATGAACCAAACTTCCAAACTCATATTAAACGGAATGTTTAATTACCTTATCCAACAAACGAGCAGTTGTCATAGGAGCTGCACACTTGACATTAAACCTCGCGCATGCATCAATGAGATACTTGTTAGCTTCATCACTAGCCAAATCCTTTGGTATATTGAAATTAGCCACCTTCTCCAACTCTCCTATCATGTCAATCCTCCTGAAGAATTTTTTTAAAAAATTAGATTAGATTATGTTCTTCTCACAAGATACGTTTCAATAAGAGTCATGCTAGTCTACCTGTATGGAGGAGTGAAGTCAATTACTATTGGATCCTTATCATATCCATTAGCATGGTACTTGACTCTGTAACCACCTGTTAGTTCCTTGACCAACCCACTCAACAAATCCTCAGTCATTTTCATCAAGTCATTGTAGTCTGCGTAAGCCATGTAAAACTCGCAAGTGGTGAACTCGGGATTGTGTGTCATGTCAATACTCTCGTTCCTGAACTGCTTCCCAATCTCGTAAACACGGTCCATACCGCCGATAACAAGCTGCTTGAGATGGAGTTCAGGTGAGATACGCATGTAGAGCTTCATGTCAAGATCGTGGTGGTGTGTCACAAAGGGACGCGCGGTTGCTCCACCGGGAATCGTGTGAAACATTGGAGTCGAAACCTCAACGAAATCAAGACCGGAGAGGAAGCGTCTTATGTACTTGTTTATGTTATCTATGGTCTTGAATATCTGAGGAATCTCGTGATTGTTTATCATCAAGTCAAGATAACGCTGGCGAAAACGAGTTTCCTGAATCAAAGAAAAAGTACAGATTCACTAAAAGCAACTAAAGAATGTTTCAAACCACTCAAACGTTTGTGTGAAGTTACCTGATCCTTAAGAACATATGTATGAGGATGTCTTAGGTTGCCTGGAGACCAGACTTCTTGCTTCTGCATTGAAAACAGAAACAGGTTAATGTTTAAAGTAAATGAGACAGTACCTAGCCACAGTGAAATTCTCCCTACCTTATTGTTAGCAGCTTTCGGCAACATGTGGAGGCAAGGAGACAACACAGTAAACGAGCGTGGGAAGATACTTAACTCTCCTCTCTTAGTCTTTCCAGGAACACCAGTGACACCGACGATATCTCCACGCTTGGCAAAATCATGGAGCTTTGCAAACTCATCCTTATCTAGTTCAGACTTCCTTAAATCAGCCATTACTTGGACCTTTAAACAACTATTATTCAAATCATAGAATGAAAGCTTGGTAGATGAAGATCTCTTGCTCATTATCCGTCCTACCAAGATTGAATGAACATAAAGTAAATATATTATTACTCCTCTTTTTAAGTGAATGAAAACTTGGTAAAACTATTAATCATTACCAGCTACAGAAACTTGGTCATCTTCAACATGGTCACCGTTGAATAGACTTTTATACTTTGCAATGAATTCAGCGACTGAGATCGACATAGAAAACTTGTGTGGGTATTGATTCTCTCCATTAGCCTTCTCTGCTTCAAGAGACTTCACTCTGTTCTCAAAGTATTGCTACAAAAGAGAAAAAAAAAAGCATAAACAAACAATGGTCACACCTTAGAGGTTGTTGTTGCAATCAGTAATATATATGTTTGGAATATGTAATAACGTTAGGTCTAATCTTTTTCAGTGCCAACTAACAAAAACCTAATCTTTTTAGTTTGTTTTGTTTTGTTTCTAATCAATCATATTGAAAGATCAACGCTTTTTGGTAAAGACTAATCAAACTTTATACATATATGAATCCTAAGCAAATAAAAAAGTCAAAAGGAACTCACTTGTTGGAGGTCTTCAACTTCAACTTCAACTTCACTGTTCTCGCTCTGCGTATCCTCAGATTCCCTAAAAGTAATCATCGGATTGAATCTAGAATTAGGGTACAAAAAAAGAAGAAGTAGATAAAGAAATCAATAACACATACTCTTGTTCGTAGAGGGGTTGAGTAGCTGCAACATCCTCCATGGATCTTGAAGGTAGATCAGAGTGGTTCTCCATCGTAACGAGCTTTCTTTATTCAGAAAAGATCAAAGCTTTTTCTTCAGGTCCGATGAGACTAGGGTTTTAGAATGTTTTATGTTTTATGATCTTTAGACCAGACTAGACAGACAATCATGTATTTATACAGACAGAGGAAGATCTCATGGTCGGTCAACTATTAATTGGGGGCCAAGTTTCTTTTTCCTAAACGCATAATACTGTACATTGTAAAAAAAAATTAACCGACATTTAAAATTAATGAAATTTAAACTTTACTGCGCTATATGGTAAAAGATTTTTTTTTTTGGTCTAAAAAAAAGTGGTTTCACCTCTTTGCCGGGAACCCAAGCATTGTAAATAGTACCTCCCACCGTGAGTTGAACCCAAGTAGCGGAAGTTACAGCTGCAACCCCTTTACCACTAGGCCAACTCAACGTTGGTCTATATGGTAAAAGATTGTGGTATACAATATGACATTTTTTAAAAAATTGTCACATTGCCAATGTCTGTCTTGTACTAATAAATGGAAAATCAGCAAGATCTCTTATGAATATAAAATTATCTCAACTGCTAATAACTTTTTTTAATGGCTTGTTGCTTAATCGTGCTATATAGTTTGAGATAATTATAAGTTTGCACAATAGTTTTTTTTTCTTTTTTCTTTTATTGATTTATTAATGGCAGTAGTGCTAAGTGACGTGTGTTTAATTGAATTAACTAAATTTAGTTACTGGAATAATCAACTTTGTCAAAGCTTTAGGGAAGTGGGTGAAAATTCCACAAGATGATGACAAAGGTTCCCTCTAGCGATCAAAGTGAACATCGAAGAAGCTGCTGCTATGTCAAAAGAACCTCTTGATCAAGTTTTAGAAGATGACACTTTTGTATTATGGAAGATTAATGATGGATATTACTTTCACCTCCACAGTTTGTTTGTCAATTAATCCAAACTAAATAAATAAGAAAATCAACAAATTGAAGTGCCAACATTCATGCCCTATAACTGCATCTACCTGTGCCAAATACGGTTTTAGAGAGAATAGCTATTTAGGACTCACTACTACATCGTTGGAAACATAACCACTAACCTGTAATATCTCACAAATACTTTATCATTCAAAGTGACACAAGAGACAACAGAAAGTAGCCATAGTGAAAACCCATCTGTACAACAAAGACATCTACTATCACCATAATCTTCCACAAACATTAGTAAAGTAAGGATACTTGGTGCACACCAGTAACAAACCATTCCACAACTCGAAGTTACTTGTCTACATCAAATGTAATCAACCATGTCTCATACTGTAGGTGGGCGCTTCATCTTAAGAAGATGAGAGATACCAGCAATAACATGAGCACGGCTACTCGGAACACCCGTCTTAGCCAAAGCTTGTCCATTTTTATCCAACAAAACAAAGCAAGGAACATACTTTATATCATAATGAAGAAGCTGCATTTCAAACAAACAAACAAATACAAAAAATCTTGAGTTTTATGCAAAAGCTACAAGAGAACATAAAAAGATCTCATCTTTTCATTACCTCAGGAAACCATTTCTCGTTCTCCGCATCAGCCATGGTAATATTAAGCCAATCCGAATTCCTTTTCTCAACCTCCAAAACAAAGTTGAGAAGAGAGTTACAGAGTCTGCACTTAGGTGAGTAAAACTCAAGCACAGTCGCATCTTTCTCGCTAGCTAACGCAGCTGCGAAAGCTCTCTGCTCTGCTTCTCCTTGCTCTGAAGCGCTTAAAGGCTTCTTCTTTGGGTTGAGACCGAGCCCGAATGAGTTAAAGGAGGTGAGAGCTATTGAGCCAACGCTTTGCATAGATCTGAAAAGCCAGGGTCCTTGGAAGTCGCAGACGGTTGAGGATTTGGGTTGTTTGTTTGAATCCCATGGCCATTTCAAGCAGAAGGGTGGGTTTTTTGGAGTTGAAGAGGTAGACGAGGTTGTTATCTTTGATTCCATTAAGTGTTGTTGCGGCGGAGAAGAAGAAGACAGGAAGCTTTACTCTGCCGGGAACTGGTTGGAAGAATGTAATGACGGTGGAAGAAATTATTAATTAGGGATATTTTATGATTTCGGTTTGCTACAAATTTTGGGATCTTGGTTTAATCAAACCAAAAATCTAGCAAAGAGTAATAGCTTGACTGGTTCTCCCACCAAAATAATTGAAATACCAAAATATTTATATTATAAAATTTCCAAAAAAATGTTCTCTTTAATTTTTTTAAAAATTTAATAGTACATTATCAATGAAAGTTTTATATTTATTATAAAAATATAATTTTAATATTTTGATAATTATATAAAATATAAATATTGTTAATTTACTATTTAACCGCTGTTATATTTAGTAATAAATCAGTCATAAGTATCTCACAAATGCAACAATTTTGAACCGTTGAACCAGTTGTCTAAATCTTTTAGTAACACTTAAAACCGCAAACTCCCGCATCCGCAAACATCTGCAACCGTAATTGTAATCGCTGCATTGTAAGCAGTCAGACAAAATAAGTAAATCTAAGTTTTGAATCCCTAAAAAATCGATTTATTAACAACTATGTACATAAGTGAAGACAAAATTTATGAAAAAAAAAATTAGTACAATTAATACAAAATTATTATGTAGATTTATATTGGTGCAAGTAAAACCGTCAAATATAAAATTTTCCTAGAATCCTATTATGTATTGAACCTCTTAAGTTAATCATAGTTTGTTGCTCAAATAATAAATAAAAATTCCTAGAAAAATTTAAATTATCAGCTGTAAAATTTGTTAATATAATGATTTTTCTAGTTTATAACAAAATTAAATTGTTGTTTGGGAAAATTGTATATCATATTTTCTCTCAAAAACAAGTTTTACAGCAGGAATCCACACACTTTTGCCACACACACACTCATTGCTGATCACTAAGACCTTGAGTTTTCTCTAGAGCCAGGACCTGAAAGCCAAGCAGCGTGTCTTACGTTTTCTCCTCCCCAAGCTCTTGTTCTTACCACCCTTGTCTAACATCCCATTTTCTTCTACTTCTCCTCTCTCCTTCTCTTGTGTGACCGTCGAAGTTGAAAAATCTTGCCTCTCTGATTTTTGAGGAACATTATTTTCAAAATGTTCTAATAGACTCACTTGCTTTGCATGATCATCCTCTACTCTGTTTGGTGACAATTCCTCAGTTTCATGGACCGGTGTTGTATTTGTTCTAACCATGTATATTACTCTATCTAGAGTCCCTAAAGCTTGTCTCACCTCTGGACTGATGCAAAACTGTCTTCTGATGTCACCATTAGTCTTGCCATTTACATTCCCTTCCTCTGAAGAAACACTTTCCTCAAAATCATCATCTTCTTCTTCTTCAATCTCTGGAATAGCTTCTCTACAATGGACATGCTCATTTTCACTAACATCATCATCATCATCCTTATGTTCCGAATCACCATTCACTTCATTAGCTTCCAACTTTGGTTCTTCCTCACTTGTCTTATCAGTTGAATACAGAGCTTGACGTATCTTAGTGTACAACGGTTCATCCAAAGCTCTGCTGTAATCTTCATCAACTTTAGCCACCGAAGCAACTGACTGTTTACATTCAAAGTAAGAAAACGTTATCACACAAGCTACCTATCAGAACAATGAAACCAAAAACTCACGTTTTCTAACCTTTTTATATAGTCTGAAACCGTTACCAATCAGCTGCCTAGTTACAAAATTCATTAGAGACGGAGGGACAAAGTCTAGCTTTATATCCATATCCCCTATCGTCCTACGATATTAACACATAAGGCTTCATTAACCAAAAGAACAAGTAACATGTTACAATGAGTCAGACCAACCTGAAGTAACTCCTCTGTGGAGTAACCTTTTGTAAGACAAATCCACCAACGATATCAATCCTCACTGCACCAGGTGTTACTGACATAACACTCTCGTTGATCTTATTAGAGGAAACTACTCCAATGCTATCTAAATCAGATATCTAAAAAAATTGCAAACCAAAATAATTTCAGATCATGTCACAACTTTTGTTTTACTTTAGAGAAGGGTTTTGATTTTTTACCGTGTTGAGAAGGATGACGACTAAGCCATCTTTAAAATATTCAAACAAGAAATAGTGTACAATAAGCTCTCTTTCTGCTAATGGCCATGGTACCTTTATCCTTTCTTCCCACAAAATGTAAAATTTTCCAGATTTTAGCTTCATAAGATTACAAAGAAACCACAAAAAAAACTTTCAAAAATGAAAAATTGGAACAAACCTTACTAAACATACTTGTTCACCGATCCTGACCTTTTGCAAGCATGTGCTTTCTAAGATCTTGAATGGTGGAAATGTAAACTGTGGCCACCTAAAACATATATATAATAACTGAATAAATACAACACATGAGTTTCTGTTGTTTCATTAACCATAAACACTAACCATTTCTTGTAGAGTGTTGATTCCCACGAAACGCACAAACCTGCATGATCATAAGTCCATTTTTCTAAAAAAAAACTTTGAATATGCAGTTTATGTTAATTATATAATAGAAAGAAAAAAAAAACTTACATTCTTGGATAGGGGCATCCATGTAACCTTCAACGAGCATAGTGTGAAAAGGACTTCCATCTAGACCTTCACGGTACATAACACGGCAATCTTCAAGATCATGTTTCAGCTGTAAAAACAAAACACTTTTTTTTTTTATAACTCGTACACAAAAAAGTAATGTGTCTGAAGTTGGGACAAGAGAAAACATACTTTCCAATCACTGTTTCCATGATGATCAGTCATGGAAACACTCCTAAGCTTAGTAAGTAGCTTCGATACATCAGCTGTTCTTTTATCCAATATATTTTCATTACATTCTAAAAAAATGACCACACCAACATAAACCCAAATGTTAGAGTGTATTAATATAACAAAAAAAAAAACGAAACAAGGTTTTCAGAACAGATCACCTTGGGAAGAGCAAAGCTGACTTCTGAGAAGGGATTTGAGAGTCTGGTCATTGGTGAGATCAGGAGAATTCAAGGTTTTGTCTAGCTTGTCTCTGTACTCACAGATCTCTCGTTTCTTCTGCATAATCTCAACCTTCGAACCAAAGATTTCACAATCCAACCACAGCTATAAAATAGCATAAACCCACCAGAAGAATAACTGATTTTCTTGAAGTTTTTTTTTATGATCCGATCACAAAATAAGGAAGAAGAGAAGGGGTAAAGAATGAGAAATATTAGCACCAAAACGTGACCGACAAGAGGGAAAAAAGAAGTTGAGACGTTTCTTGTATCAAGAAAATTTCAAAAGTGGTCCATTACCAAGAATAGTCTCTCGGAGTTACCAACAAAGGGATGGGACGTTGCGTAATGACAACGATTAATGTCGAGATTAGGACATAAGAAGAAGAAGGGGATAGTGACAAATATAGGTTTTGAGATAGCAGATAAGAGTCGGTGTCATAACGAGTGTGAAGAAAGATAGGTGGGAAGTTTTTTTTTTCTTTTTTGGTAAAAGAAGATATAGGTGGGAAGTTGTCTGCCTCTTAATCACATCTATCTTCTTCTTCTTCTCTCTTCTTTTTTAATATATAGTAGTTTATGCAGATAGGTGGGAAGTTATGCAGAGGCCAAAAATAGCCCATACAGGCAGGAGATGATGATGATGATAATGCCAGCTGAAACCAATATTTTTGGGGTCCTCCTCTTTTTGCTTTTGAATAATTTTAATTCTCTTTTTGTCAACTTTAAATATAGTATAAATTGCCCAATCATATCACATAACCACTTTAACACACATACTACAAGTATGTTCAAAACTTCAAATGCATTGAATGCTCGTACGGTGGCTGAACTTTTATATTCAAGTTTGCGATTCCCTACATACATTTACTCACACATGCCGAATGTTCGATCCCAAGCTTGACCACTTTTTGTTATGTAGTTGTTGATCCTCATAGTGAACACCATACAAAGTGATAAAAGTACGGAGAGTTATCTAATGATGATCCAACATTAATGGGCTTTTGTCTGAGCGTAAGTGCCATCAATCATCTTGAACTTTAGCCCATCAAATAAAGTAGGCCCGGTCCATCATAAACATTTTTGGCTAAACCTAAATTAGAGTGTGTACCAATAATATTAAGAGAGAATGAACCGATCACAGTCGAAAAATTAAAACAATGTTGATATTTATTAACATTAAAGTGTTAAGTTGTGTTAATCGAAAAGCTGATAAACTAAGAAGTACATGCGGAGAGCATCATCCCACTATCAATTGCCAAAAACATGTGCTCACCCCAATTTTTTATGATGGACCTAAAATGTTTGAGTTTCATGAGGTACATTTCCACATATAGTAAGTTTCACTCGTTGTAGAGTTATTACGAATGCAACGTCTACTAATATCTAGGTGTTGGAAACATTCAACAACGATTATCTTCATCTATAATCATATAACTGTTTGATTTGATTATCATTTCCCAATCTTCAAACCTGTAACAGCCAAATTGAACACACTTAATTTAAAAAGATTAAATTATAGTAACTGGTTTGGTTTAGTAGTGCATAGTACTCACCAAACCATTAGAAAGAAACCAGAAGAAGAGAAAAAAGGATAATAAAGGTTTAACCACAGAGGCTGATAGTGTGCACACTGTTACTAAGCCCATCAGCCGCTTCTACACAAACCTACAAAGCAATAAGCCTTACACTCTCTCTTCAACACATTCGCCGCTTATCACCACCGATCTTCTTCTTCTTCTTCCGAACATTCAAAACGGTACAGTTTCATCCTCTTCTGCTCCGATTCTCGTTTATTCTGCAGATTCGTTCATCGATTTAGCTTTATTTGTTCGTTCGTTTGTTTGTTTAATTATTCGAAGCTTCTTCTGTTTACTTTGATATATAATTAAAAAAAAACATATATTCTCTTTCTCGTCAGTTACGGTATGGAGCCATTCGTTGCAAGGGAGAACACTCTCGCATCCTCTTCCTCCCCGCGTAAGAAGCGACGAATCGATCACACCGAGGAGGCTCCTATATCTGATGGCTCGCCGATTCTCACATCCATCTCCAGCATCGAGCTGAACAACAACAACAACGGTGGTGGTGACGCGACGCCGATGAGCATGGATGCGGTTGGTAACAACAGTCACGAGATCGATGAAGATCTTCATAGCAGACAGCTGGCGGTGTACGGACGCGAGACGATGAGGAGGCTTTTCGCTTCCAATGTTCTCATCTCTGGGATCCAGGGCCTTGGTGTTGAGATTGGTAACCGCTTTCCTATTTTTTTTTTAAATCTCATTTTCGTTGTTAATTAAATAATCCTCTGGAATGTCACTTATTGTTTGATTTTGTGCACATTATTTGAGTCTATAAAACGGTTGCTTAGACTGTTTATTTGAGGAGTTAGTGTGGTATCATTATGCATTGAAGGTTTATTTATTTTTTTGTTGTGTTATTTTTAATGTTGATTCTCATATCAATCACTATGTTTGTAATGATGTTTTATATGTATTTTGTCTTTTTTGTTATCTGCTTATTTTTGATGATAAGTTTGTTCTTCTATTTAGCCAAGAATATTATTCTAGCTGGTGTGAAGTCTGTGACTCTTCACGATGAAAACGTGGTTGAGCTATGGGACTTATCTAGTAACTTTGTTTTCTCGGAGGAGGATGTTGGTAAGAATAGGGCACTTGCTTCTGTTCACAAGTTGCAAGAACTCAACAATGCCGTGGCTGTCTCATCTTTGACTGATAAGTTAACTAAAGAGCAGCTTTCTGGTTTCCAGGTATCCAAAATCCTTCCTTTATTTGATTTCTTTATGTCCTAGTTATCAACTTGTCAATCAGACTGTTATGATCGATAGGTGCAGTTTCCTGTACAATGTACATAATGAACACTGGCTAATTTATTTTAGTTGTTGTAGGCTGTGGTATTTGTGGATACGTCTTTTGAGAAAGCGACAGAGTTTGATGATTATTGTCATAGTCATCAGCCTCCTATTGCATTCATCAAGGCTGACGTTAGGGGTCTGTTTGGGTCATTGTTTTGTGATTTTGGACCTCGGTTTACTGTTCTTGATGTTGATGGAGAGGAACCGCACTCTGGCATCATCGCTTCTGTTAGCAATGAAAATCCTGCTTTTGTTTCATGTGTCGATGATGAGAGGCTCGAGTTTCAGGACGGTGATCTTGTGGTTTTCTCTGAAGTTGAGGGGATGGCGGAGTTAAATGATGGAAAACCAAGGAAGATTAAAAATGTCAAGCCGTATTCATTTGTCCTTGAGGAAGATACCACTAGCTGTGGGACATATGTGAAGGGTGGGATTGTGACTCAGGTTAAACAACCAAAGGTTCTGAACTTTAAGCCGCTCCGAGAAGCAATTAGAGATCCAGGCGAATTTCTTCTTAGTGACTTTTCAAAGTTTGACCGGCCACCTCTTCTTCACTTAGCATTCCAGGCACTTGATAGATTTTCTTCTCAATCAGGCCGGTTTCCGTTTGCTGGTTCGGAAGAAGATGCTCAGAAACTAGTGGAAATTGCAACTGACATTAACGAGAGTTTGGGTGATGCAAGGTTGGAAGATGTCAACTCTAAACTATTGCGGCATTTGGCCTTTGGATCCAGGGCTGTTCTGAATCCCATGGCTGCAATGTTTGGTGGCATTGTTGGACAGGAGGTCGTCAAGGCATGCTCTGGGAAATTCCATCCTATCTTTCAGGTAAAGTCTTATCTGTTTGAATGTTCAGGATGCACATATGTTCACTCATTATGTGTAAAATGTCCACTTGTTGAGCAATTTTGTTCTTCAATTTAGATAGGCAGATACTCTAGAAAAGTCTCATCTCCCCTTATAGTAGTATTTAATTTGTTATTTGTAATTTTGTAATGAGTTTGCATTACTTGTGCAGTTCTTCTACTTTGATTCGCTGGAGTCACTCCCCAAGGAACCCCTTGATGCATCAGAGTTTAGACCACAAAATAGCCGTTACGATGCACAGATCTCTGTATTTGGGTCTACACTTCAGAAGAAACTCGAGGATGCTAGAGTTTTTGTTGTAGGGGCTGGTGCTCTTGGATGTGAGTTCTTAAAGAATTTAGCTTTGATGGGTGTGTCATGTGGCGTTCAAGGGAAGCTCACTGTCACCGATGATGATGTTATTGAAAAGAGCAACCTGAGTCGTCAGTTTCTTTTCCGAGATTGGAACATAGGACAGGCTAAATCCACAGTTGCCGCAACAGCAGCTGCGGGAATAAATCCTCGTCTCAACATTGAAGCTCTGCAAAACCGTGTTGGACCTGAGACTGAGAACGTCTTTGACGACAGCTTCTGGGAGAATTTGACAGTTGTTGTCAACGCACTGGACAATGTCACTGCAAGGCTTTATGTCGATTCAAGGTGTGTATATTTCCAGAAGCCTCTCCTCGAGTCAGGAACTCTAGGTGCGAAGTGCAACACACAGATGGTTATCCCTCATCTCACTGAGAACTATGGTGCCTCGAGAGACCCACCAGAGAAACAGGCTCCGATGTGTACGGTGCACTCATTTCCTCACAACATTGACCATTGCTTAACATGGGCTCGCTCTGAATTCGAGGGTCTGCTTGAGAAAACACCAGCTGAAGTCAATGCATACCTCTCAAATCCGGATGAATACATGAATGCGATGAGGACTGCAGGTGACGCTCAAGCTAGGGATACTTTGGGACGTGTTGTTGAGTGCCTCGAGAAAGATAAGTGCAATTCCTTCCAGGATTGCATAACTTGGGCTCGTCTTAGGTATCCCCTTATGGTGTGAACCCCTCATCTTTACTGTGTATAAATGATTCACTTCTTTCTAACATAAGTTTTTGCTTACAGGTTTGAAGATTACTTCGTCAACCGTGTAAAGCAGTTGATTTTCACATTCCCCGAGGATGCTAATACCAGTACCGGAGCACCATTCTGGTCTGCCCCAAAGAGATTCCCTCGTCCGCTTCAGTTCTCTTCAACTGACCTCAGCCATACCAATTTTGTCATGGCTGCTGCTATCTTGCGTGCAGAGACATTCGGAATCCCTACTCCTGAATGGGCTAAAACCCCAACCGGACTAGCCGAGGCTGTGGAAAGAGTGATAGTCCCCAACTTTGAGCCGAGGGAAGATGCAAAGATTGTAACTGATGAGAAGGCTACAACTCTGTCTACAGCCTCAGTCGATGATGCAGCAGTAATCAATGAGCTAATCGCAAAACTAGAGCGGTGTAGACTGACCTTGCAGCCAGAGTTCAGGATGAAGCCAATCCAGTTTGAAAAGGTGAATAATAATCGCATCCCAACTCTTATCAAAATCTGTTTCTGTTTAAATTCCAAGAGCAACTAACATTATGATGTTTATAGGATGACGATACCAACTACCACATGGACATGATCGCTGGGCTAGCCAACATGAGAGCAAGGAACTACAGCGTTCCGGAAGTAGACAAGCTTAAAGCCAAGTTCATCGCCGGAAGAATCATACCAGCCATCGCAACTGCAACAGCTATGGCAACAGGCTTCGTTTGCCTCGAGCTGTACAAGGTCTTAGACGGCACACACAAAGTGGAAGACTACAGAAACACGTTTGCTAACTTAGCGCTTCCACTCTTCTCCATAGCCGAGCCGGTTCCACCAAAAGTAGTGAAGCACCAAGACCAAACCTGGACGGTCTGGGACCGATGGGTCATCAAAGGAAACCCAACTCTAAAGGAGTTGCTAAAATGGGTAAAAGAGAAAGGACTAAACGCGTACAGCATATCTTGCGGAAGCTCTTTACTATACAACAGTATGTTCCCAAGGCATAAAGAGAGGATGGACAGAAGAGTTGTGGATCTTGCAAGAGAAGTCGCTAAAGTTGAGTTGCCTGCTTACAGACGTCACTTGGATGTTGTCGTGGCATGTGAGGATGACAACGACAATGACGTTGATATCCCTCTCGTATCAGTTTACTACTCTTGATTACAATCTTAAACATCCCCCAAAAGTCTTCATACTACAGAAGAGAAGAAACAGAGTTTTGGTGTCTTGTTCTCAACTTAATTATTCTAAAGGAACCAAATACAAAAAAAAACATAAACAAGTTATTACAGGAACATCAAGTACAAAGAGAACATCTCACAAGCCCTTTCTCATTGCATTCTCTGCATCTTGTCCATATATTACCATTACTTGTCTCTTCATCATCTGCAATCAATCTTGAGCTTCCGTTGCAACTAGAACATATCAAAAACCTTTCATTCTTACAACATTTGCAAGGCGAATGAGCCAGTGGGAACCCTACTAGAATCTTCTTAAGCTTCCCGTTCTCGTTCAACGACACAACATCATCAGCTCCTCCAATGTACCTACCTCTAATAAACAGCCTCGGAGAGGTAACTTTCCTACCAAGCAACCTCCACATCTCATCTCTATACTCTGAATCCACCGAAACATCTCTTTCTTTATACTTCACCATGTGATTCTCCAACAAAAACCTTACTCTTCTACACGCTTCGAACGTTTTCCTCACTGCTCGCAGTCCCGTGGTGTAGAACACGATAGAGTCTTCTCCTCCAGGTGGACACTTCTCTTCAAATTCCAAAAGTATCTCTCTCTCTTCTTCTTCCTCAAGATCATGTTCTTGTTCTGACACTTCCACGTCCTCAAGCGTTGGTGTAACGCAACCTCTGCGTTGACCAGACTCAGCTACTATTTCGTCTCTTATATGATGGATTGTCCGGTCAATCTTACTCTTGTGATGAGCTAGGCCTTGCTTCAAGGTAGAAACAATGGTGATGAGTTTGATCTTCTTCGCCAATCTCTCCTTCATTCCCTTCATGGCTATTAAAAAATAAACTCGGATCTTTTGTTTCGAGAAACCAAATTCAAGAATCTGAAAAGAGGTGAAGAGATGGAATAAAGATCAAGACCAAACCAAAGATAAGATCGGGCACGCACGAGAATAATAAGGAAAAAAAAAAAAAAAACTTAATGGGGTTTTTGGTTTTCAGGTCTCTTATTTGGTTAACGTGTGGGTACCCAATTTAGATGAAAAGAGTTTGAAAAGCAACTTTCTGGGTTTAGCTTTCAAAAGTCTTTCTTGATAGGTTTTATTCACACAAAAAAAAAAAAAAAATTTATTGATGAGTCATTGCTACAATAATGTAACTCACCCCTCAATTACAGAGACAAACAACAACACTTATGAGTCATGATTTTCAACCAAAGAAAAAGATCAAAATTACGAATCTGTCTGGTAAGAGTGATCAATTGATTTTTGAAGTTTATTTTCCTACTTTTGGGTTCGGTAAGAATGATCATCATGCCTGTCTTGTCTTTTACAATTCCGTAAACGTGCAATGATGTCAGAATGGTTAAGTAGCTTAGCAAATTTCGAATTAGTCAAAAATACTAAATTAATCATCATATTTGCTTCTTCTGATTAAGTTTTCACATTACAATATGGTTCAGTTTACTTTAATATGATGGTGGTGGTTAAAAAAATCGTCAATTATAATCAGTCCAAGTATATAGCCTAGTGGCCATGAGGAGACATGGTGATTATGTTGTTTGAATGCAGCAGCAAGGAAACCTAACCATGTAATTTATATATATATATCTATGATGAAGATTCTTCATCAAATCGAATCCAGGTCTAGTAACAAAACTGATAAAGCTATAGAAGAAAACCATATCTAATATTTATACAATGGCAGATAAAAGTGAATTTGCTCTACATGTCGGCCACAGATGGTACGGATCCAATGTCTATGGAGAATTTAATACACGTTAGCTCCTTCTTTTGCGCATCCAGCATCTTCATTTGCAGCGAGTATGAACCCTATAAAGATAAACAAAAAAGTAGAATCTCTCATTTTAATGTCTCTATGTATTGCTCAATACCAAGCTAAGCCTAAGACATCCACTATGGTTACAAGAGATGCTTCAAAAACTGAATAGCAAATAACCACTAAACAAAAGCGAATGGAGCTTACAGGAGGAGTGTAACCAGGAAGAACTTGAGAGTGAGCAACCAAGAAGTCTCCGGTTTCAACAGGACAAGTTGTTTCATCACAAAGATCACGAGTCTCAGAGTGAATGTGCCATCCAAAGTATGTAACTTCAATCACCAACTTCCCACCCGTAATCCCACGCCCTTCATTTTTTAAAAAAAACACACACATATCATAAACAGATTGTTCAGACTCATTTAGAATCTAGTAACAAGCTACAACCCTCAGAATCAATCACATTATCTCTCTCTATCATATCACTAACACATTCATTATCATCACAAAGGTAACATCTTTCTATCATTGGCATAATAAAAAAAACTTCAAGTAAAAGAGTTTCAAGGTGAAGCAAACCTGTGGTGGCAGAGATGGTAAAGGTAGCTGGCTCGCCTCGAGCTATAGGGTTAGGAGATATATTAACCTCTTTCACTTTTACTTCATACTCTGCATTCTCCTCTGCAATTATCAAAACAAAAACAAAAATCGAAACTTTAACACTTTGAAACGAGTAAAAGGCCACAAAGAGTTGAACTTTAACAACAAGAGAGCCATCACAAAGGAGAAAAGAGAGGATTAAACATACCACAGTAGTGGACATCGGTGGCTAGAACAATCGTTGAGAAGACGAGGAGGAGGAGGAGAGGAAGAATCGGGATTCTAGACATCGTTGATGGAATCTCGGAGGTGCTTTGTCTGCTTGATGATCAAAGAAGCCCAGAGGAGGTTTAGCAGACCAGAGAGTGTATCTTTTATATTCTCAAGGAATGTAGGCGTCATCTTGACCGTTCTCTAAGCTAGGTCATTCTTTCCTATAAAGTATAATGAACGGCTAGATTTCGTTTGATAAATGTTATTTGGTGTACATGATTGCACCTGATTATTCGTCATAACGAACCGAAAAATAGTACATAGGATTAACCAACCTTGACTGTATACTTTCTTCTTTAATTTTATTTTTTCCGCCACTTCTTCTTTATTTTTCTTAAAGATATTTATGTAATAAGAATAAAAATTGATTATGATTTTTTTTTCATGTTGGCAAGAAACATGGATTTTTGTATACAGATTCACTAACCTCCTCACTTTGTTGAATGACGGGCATAGTCTAGATAACGAGAATGTACATATGTTCATGAAAATTATTGATGAAGAACCATGAAAGCACATACGTTGAGCTTAAATAGAAGTCTAATATTTGTTGAAAAACTAGAAATCTAGTATTTTCAATAATTAAAGAAATTTATTTATAAATTTTATAAATGCATTAATATTTTCTGTAGCGTCTATATCGATATAATTATTTTTTTCCTTAGCTCCGGTTCAAAGAATATATTTTTTTTTTGAGCAAAGGTTTACTAAAAACGAAGAAGAATATACAGTAGAACCTCTATAAATTAATACTTGATAAATTAATATATACTAAATATCTCTATAAATTAATATAATTTTATAGTCACAAAATGAGTTTTTGGTTCAATTAGTATATCTATAAATTAATATCTTTCTAAATTAATAAAAAAATAAAATTTTGGTGTAGTCTCAACATTATTAATTTATAGAGGTTTCACTGTAGTTGTTATATTAAAATATAAACAAAATATTATAATCTCACTACATTGTTCATGTTGTCTTAAGGATATAATACCACAAAATTTGTTTATATAACGAACCAAATAACACCCGTAAAACTTTACATCTTGAAGGTAATATACTCTAGGAAATTGAAATATAATATAAATAAAATAAATAAATAAAAAGACAAGAAGTCAAACATCTATCGACCGGCGGCAAATGTAACAGCGTCAGCAACAGGTGTCATCGCCGGCGACGGCAATGGAGACTTACGGCATACAGGACAAGTAGGATGAATCATGAGCCAAGGGTCAACGCACTTGTCGTGGAACAAATGGTTACAATCCGGCAAAACCCTAATCATATCTTTCTTCTTGTAATCCGCTAGACATATCGAACAACACGACGTCGCAGTGGCATCCTTTTGCAAGCTATAACTCACACGAGCCTCTTCGTAACGAAGCTTAGGGAAACTCTTGATTACATCTTCGTCTAGCCCCACCACCACGGTGTCGTTTTGATCATTATTGTCGAAGTGAAAACGTTCTTCGCCATTTCGTGAAGTTGCATTGGTTTGTCTTTGTCGACGTGTTATTGTCCTCGGGGAAGATGCTAAGATTTGGCTTCGAGTTAAGCAATAAGAAGCGACGGTGATTGTGGTGACTAGAAGAAGTATACCAATGGAGACAATGAGCCCGTAAGCTAGTCCATCGATCCCACCCGTGGCTGGTAGCCACGGGTAGGAGTCAGGTGGCAAGGCCGTGGCATCCATTGGATAACTAAAAAACTGATCTGAAGAGAAAAGGAGTGAACGTTTGTTTTTGGTCATCAGGGGGTGATGAAGTTTTGGGAGTAAACGTTTAGATATGAGTAATGTCATATATGGGTTTTCTTTGGGTAGGATAGGTTTATACAGAACCAGTCTCAAAAAAAATTTAGATGTTCAAAAAAAATTAACGATATATTTATGATTTAATAAATTAATTTAAAAATTAATAATTATATTTGATGTTTTTTAAAAAAATTATAACTTATAATTTAGTAATATATCTAATTTGTTTTTTAAAAATATCACAATTTTTTCTTATTATTTTTTATTTTTATATTTAAAGCCTTGTTTGACTGCTCCACTTACACATGTTATTAGACGGCATTGAGTCTATATATGATTAGGTTTTCTATAGGTAGGATGGATTTAGATATGGCAATGTGTCTAGTGGCCTGTATAAGTCCATGATTATCGCAAGGTACAATGAGAGTTCTTAGTTATCTTTATGTGTGTGGGTCCTATCAAAAAAGTATAAGAAACTGGTTCAAAAGAGATGAAATAAAAAACGGTTTGAAGATGGTTTTTGCACTGTTCACAGGTTCCATAGACACATGGTAACCCGTGATTAGTTCTATTTTTTTTTATTTTTTAAGCAAACAAAAAGAATAAAAAAATAAAAAATAAGAAACCCATAAAGGAGTTGTGGGTTAATCATGCTCTAATAACTTTCACAAGTATAAAAAATGTTGTTAGACGTAAATCAAACATTTGGAATACGTTTAATGTCACCGTTGATTAATTTTCCCCTTATTTACAAATTTGTACGTTCTTGTTTTTATTTTTTGACAACGTTCTTGTTTTTGAAAAAAAAATTGATGAATATGTAAAATATAAGTATGATCTCCACTTTACTTCTATGTAATGAATAATGATTTATTTATTTTTTTGTAACATATTAATGATTTATTTAACCCTTTTATAAAACAGGCATAAGAGGCCAAAGTGTAGATAATCTCTCGAATCAGTAGAAAATTGGAGTCATGGTTTTAACCAGTGTCCGATGGCGATGACGGATATGATCGAATATACCTAGCTCTGTCGTACCAGACTTCTGTTCAGGCTATAGAAAAATTTCATAGGGCTTCTTAATTAAATATTGAGTCATGGCATGTTGAGTGCTTGAATGAGATGACGTACGTAAACGTCTTGTTGCCTGCTTATTCTCGCTGCTTTTTAACATTTCTCTATTTACTTTTTCATTGTTTTTACTTTTTATTCACTTATTCAAAACCATAAAGTCCACCAAAATACAATTGTATTACTCAAACCGTTCAAAACGTCTCTAACAGTTGTGTATTCTTAATAATATCGTTAAAATATAATTTGACCAAAAAATATCGTTAAAATAGTTGAACAAGACATAGTAGTTTTCACTGTACATGTTTATAGTATTTATTCAAGCTTGTGCTGATGTGTGTTAAATTCCTAGAGAGGCATATAATTATATACGGTTTTCAAAAGATTTTAAAGGCATCTCCCAATTCACTTCATTCACTCTAAAACAAAATATAATGAAATATGAGTAAAAAATGTTCTATTTCTACTCTATTATATTTTTCATTCCACAATGAAATAAAAGATAGTCTATTTTTTGTGTTAATTATATATTCCATTGTGAAATGAAGAATGAAATCAGATTAAAATATTTTTACTTCATATTCTATTTAATTTACACAATTTAAGAAGAAAAAAATAAAATTTTACACTGGAGATATTCTAAATGGACTATTGCACCAACGAAAACTTCAAGATAGACAATTAATGGCTGGAAAAGGATAACCTTAATGGTTAAAAACAAGCTTAAAACAACCTTAACGAGGTGGCGAGACTTACACTAAGGAAAAGAGGTTGAATATTTAAAGTTACCTTAAAGTGACTAAGCTAAGTGAATGAATCTTTAAAGTTAGCTTAAAGTGACCAAAAAAAATCGTTAAATGTTTGGTGAGCAATCTTTGTTACCAACTATCATTCTCGGAGATTTGGACTTTAAAGAAGGTAGGTACATTTACTGGTAGTTAACATACAGTACTTAACTGTAGTTCAAACAATACAACTCAAAGAAACTTCAGTTTTGTGTCCTTGTCTCTTCCTCTCAACTCTCTCTATAAATAAGATTACAAGTGCATGTCTATACTTCATAACTAAAAGAAAGAAACTAAAAGCGACGGCCATGGAAAGAATTCTTGAGCAGGTAGTGTCATACCTCAAGACCGAAATCAAAAAGAAGGAGAAGAAGCTAGACCATAATCGAAAGCTAATTAAGGAGTTGGAGTCTCGGATGATGTTCCAAATCGAAAATGGTGACCTTTCTCAAACCCAAATTGATGATTTAAAAGCATATTTGAGTAGCCGGTCAGGTACGCAACATCCGTATCCAAGTGTCATCAACGAGTCAATTCTTGGGGATGATCATGATATCCCAAAGGCTTCAGATGACGTTGCACCTGAAGAGGGACCTTCTTTACACCCAAAGGGAAAGGGAAACATGGAACCATCTGATGATGTGGATGATGAGATGAAGAAGACCTATCATCAAGGAGAGAGCAGCAAATCTGGTGGTGCAGACGATGCCTAATGAAGCAGCTAGTCGAATAAAAAAATTATGTCTTGAAGTAAAGTTTGTTGTTGTGTTCATATTTCTAGTTTTTGTTGTTGTTTTGGTCTAGCTTCAGTCATGTTTCTTGCTGTGTCTTAAACTTGTGTTCGTGTTTGCATGTTAACCTAAATAATGCAATGTTTTCCCTTTACAATTTGAAGTGCTCATCGCGTATTTAACATCATGTTTCGTCTAGGGTTCAACTTAAACCAAATTGTTTGAGAATAAGCTCTATATAGAGAAATCATCGTATTTAACTGACATTGGCATGCGTCATATTTTTTGCACATCTCATTATCTGAAATTATAAAGTAAGAAAAATGGATATGTGCATTATGATATCAACATATGGAATGTGTTAAATTGAGAAGTTATATATAACATTAAAATTTCTCAATTTTTTTTTTAAAATGGGCCAACATTAAATGGGCTAATTTAATCCGACGTAAGTGATTATCCAACTGAGCCCGCTGCCTGATTCGTACAAAAATGTATTGAACTTCACTCTATGATAATGTTGAAACTCAAATTAGACATTGAAACTTTGGTTATAATAGTGTAACTAAATGGCACTTGCACAAGTTATAGTGTATAGTTACTATATAGTACACTTTGTAGATAAAAATGAGATTTAAGTTTTTCTTTTTAAAATGGGAACAAAAAAACGAACTTGAAGACAACATAGTACTGTTAGTTAAAAGGAGATGGGGGATGAAAATGATATGAAGTGGGATCATTGTAGCTTGTGGAGAGAGCACGTCAAGCCAACGCTACTACAGTTAACAAGAGCAATAATTTTGTCTATCTTTTATGTGTCGTCACCTAATAAATAAATTTTTAAAAAAACATTAAAAAGATTCAGCATGAAAGCTGAAGGTGATTGGTTGCTGGAGCTACTATTATTAGTTTACACAACACTTGTAGTTTAGTTGTTCACCCATCAACACTCTCTCTTTCTGAATCTTTCTTTCTTTTTTTGGAACCGACATGGCTCCCAACACATAGGAATCTTAAGCTTTCTCTCTCTCTCTTACACAGTCTCACAACACACTCCTCTTGTGTAAGTTTTCTTGTCCCAATATGGATTTTGTTATTGTAAGATTTTGGTAGGTTTCTATCTTTGGATCCTCAAATTTCTTTTGGAGATCTTGTTATATCTGAAGAAGTCTTAGTTTTTTTTTACTTTTTTTTACTTGTTCAATAGATCTTTCACTTTGTTTTCATTAGTCTTTTGACATTAAGCTATGCAAACTGAGTATTGCAAGGAGAGAGAGGAGCTATTCTCGCCTCCCCAGAGTTCTTGTTTGTGGAACATCGCTTTCGGATCTCCGGCGTTGACTACGGAGAGCCTCTCTTGTGACTCATTAGCCGGAGTTAAGGTAATTACTCCAGAGACAGAGTCAGAGCAAGCTGTGGATAAGCAAAGCTCTGCATTCACTTTCTCACCTGGTACGTAAAACTCTTATGGAAGCTTTTTTTTTTTCTTATGGAAGCTTCTTGGATGTGAAAAACTGAATGAATATAATTGCATTTCAAGGTAACTATTTCTGCTAAATTTAATTTTTTAGGTGGTGGTAAGAGTTCAAGAGATGTGTCAAAGCCTCATATTGGTTTGGCCATGCAATCTTCCTGCTTCGAGTTTGGGTTTGCTCAGCCAACGGTGCAGTTTTTCTTACACTGGAACATGTTCAAAAACCTAAAAGTTTCCTTTTATCATCTTGTTCCTGAGTACTTGTTATTATGTTTTCATGTAGATCAACACAAAGCATCCTACTGATCATGTGGAACAGTACAATGGAGTTGTTTCATGGGACCGGGTCATGATGCCTCTAAAGATGGAGACAGAAGAAGATGGTATGCATATGATCTATGTGAACTCAAAACAGTACCATGGAATCATACGTCGACGCCTGTCTCGTGCTAAGGCTGCTCTCAAGAACAAAATGACTAGTTTCCGTAAGGTAAACCATATTTTTTTTTAAATGGTTGATATTGTTTTTTTTTTTTTGCAATATGGATTCTCAAATGCTGCCGTACATTGTGATGTTTGCAGCAGCCATATATGCATCACTCGCGCCATCTCCATGCTATGCGCCGTCCTAGAGGATCCGGCGGACGTTTCTTGAATACCAAGAAAGGAGATCCTGCTTTACAGTCTAAGCCAAGCAACTCTCAGAGTTCTGAACTCTTTCATCCTAAAAATGGTACCATGAACTCATCGATGGAAACATATGAACCAGATGTTACAAGTATGAATCACTTTTTAAGTTCAACGTCGGTTCATATTGGTGGTAATATGGTCATGCCTAGCAAGTGGATTGCAGCAGCAATGGATACTGGCTGCTGCAATCTCAAAATCTGATTATCAAATGGGGACAAGACAGGATTTGGTGAACTGATCTCTTGTCATGTTCCTTATGTTTCACAGCCAAAACGAAGAGATAGATCTTTGTACCTACTAAAAGAGATAATGAGATTTGGTTTGGCTGTAAACTGGCAACTCATCTTTGGCTCATCAAGGTTTTATTTCTTCCTCTGTTTTCAACAATGATTGTTTTGCCAGATTAATATTGTTGTATTGTATGGATGTGTTTGTTGAAAAAACAAATTAATTTTGTAAGAAAACTATCTGTCTGGAAGAGTAAAGAAATTCTTCCTTTAACCTTTCCATAGCTTGAGAACTTTATCAGCACCACCAGAGGCTACTTTTTCACCATCTGGACTCCAATCCACAGCATAAACCTTTCCAACACAACAAAAACAAAACATAACTTAAAAAGAGTAAGAAAAAGAGATTTGTGTAAACAAAACAAAACAACTTGAGCTTTGAAGGTGTATTATGATACCTCAGCCGCATGACCAGGGAGATCATGTTTTAAACTTTTTGTTCTAATATCCCATACCTGTGGAAAGTGAAACATAACCAAGGTTATATTTGGTAGTTCTACTCTCTAGTCTCTCTACTGTGTTATCAAATGTCAAAACAGAAACTTCACCTTGAGAGTAGAATCTTTACTGCAACTCAATAGCATCCTACTGTCAGCTGACCAACTGATCTGATAGACAGAGTTAACATGGCCTCTGAATGCTGTTATAAACTTCCCTGTGACACCATCCCATAGCTTCACAGACTTATCAAACGATGCACTTGCAATCCATTGCCCATTTGGTGAGAAATACACATGGTTTACTAGCTGTTGATTGTGTTCACACCAAACAAAATGTTAAAAATTAAAAAATATATATATATAGTAGTAGCTAATAGTAACCTGTTGATGACCAGTCAACCTGGCTGTAGTAACCATTTTTTGTTTAGGTTGTAAGCTAATGGATGGTTCCCAAAGAATTATCGTAAAATCATCAGAACCAGACACTAATCTTTCAGGAGAATCTACTTTCCCTTTTGCTTTGATGTATCTTTCCAGCGCAATCTAAACCAAACATTTAGGGAGAGGATCAAAACCAGGCTAAAAAAAAAAGAAGAGGCAAAGTCTGTAATAACATCAGAAGTTTATATTACCTGTTTCATTTCTTCATCTGAAGATGGTTGTTGTCTTGTGTGGTCAAACGCTCCTGTCCGAAGAACATATTCTGTACTTAATCCAAGTGAGTTCACCCAACCGGCATGGTCCTGAAGAAGCAGAGAAACTTTAGAAATGTATCTTAAAGTAAAAAAAAAACTCTCTAATTACAATTCAAAATTCGTCGGGCCCTTAGGAACAGCCATTCGAATTTCGAATTTTTATTCATTTTTGCCTTTACTAACTTATAATCAGATCTCTGTAATTAAATATTTGCAACTTGATTACTTCAAATATATTTTTCAAGTAAATGTTACCGTCAATATATGTTTGAGGACTCCTTGACCCTTCTGAGTGATCTCCCACATTCTTATGGTACTATCTTGAGAACTGCCAAAACACACAATAACATGTTAACAAGATAAAAAAAAGTCTGGAGATTAAGCTTTGAACCATAAGATGTATTGTACCCTGTGTATATAGTTCCATCACCACCCCATTTAACACAGGTTACAGCTTGTGTGTGTCCACTGAGGACAATAAGAGTTTTCTTCAGTGTAAAGTCCCAGATCCTTGCATCCCCATCTTTGCTACAAGTCACAAATCTACGGCTTGGATAACTAATATGAGCTGGTTCCCACGCGATACCATTAATCCATTTCTTATGACCCTAAGAGAAAGTTGAAGATCTATCAGTAACATATTAATTAATATTCAAAAACAATAAAGTAAAAGAAGAGTTTTAGTACTGAAAGTGGATTGCCCTGTAATTCTCCTTTGCTTGGATCCCAACAACAGACTTTTCCATCTTTATCACCACTCACAAGACACTTTGCATCTGGTGACCATGCAACTGCAAGAACATGATCCTTGTGCCCTGAAAAAAAAAACGTTACATGAAGTATTGTTTATTACAAGAAATCTAAAAGTATAGAGACATTAACTAAAACCTCTGCATGTAAACATTGGAGTTTCAGTGTTGAGATCCCAAAGCCTAACCGTTGTATCACCTGAACCACTTGCTAATTGCTTACCGTCAGGACTAAACGAAACACAAAGAATCTCACCCACATGACCTTATTTTCAAAAAAAAAAAAAAATCACTCCAACCATGGAACTAAAAACAAAGAAATCAAGATGAACATCTAACATATATTTATACCAGAAATTGTCTGTGAGCAACGGTTAACCGGACGAATCCTGAAAACAGCTTGTTGTCGATAAACAATCTTTAAAACATTCTCCACGGACACTACAGTTCATGTCAAAATGTTACTAAAACATAAACTAAGATAATATTTTCTATCGAACCATTAGAGAGAGAGCAAACTTCTTTGCTTATTATTAGGGTTTTACCGCCATTACTCTCCATGTAAGTTCCAACCGAGACTAGAAGCTCTTCATCTGATACATAGAAGCTGTAAGGTAACTTCTCCTCCTGAATATTAGATGAAGTCATTTAAATATTGGATTCATTAAGTATAATGAAAAATTAGATACGAAAGTATATAGTAGAATTATACGTTGTTGAGAAACGTATTGACCAAGTTAGTGAGCTGCAAAGGCCCTGCGTTACGAGGGATATACATAGCAGAACCTAGTGGAGTTTCTTCTGCGTCTGTTAACAGACATATCACTGACTCTGATCCATCCGTCTCCATGTTTTGCAGACAAACTCTGATGGAAAATAGGCAAAAGGCTTTGCGGTATAAATATAAACCCTAAGAAGTAAAAGTTATTTATTTAAATAAATCCTCCAAATTAACCGTCTATTTACAAATAAACCCCAACTTTCTCTCTTTTTAAGTATTGTAACCCATAAAAAACCCAATTGCCAACCAATTTTTTCTCATGTTACGCCGTTATGGATTTAACCACAACCTAACGTCGTTAAAATTAAACGCGTGTAACAATAATCTGCAAAGGGAACCACACATGAGTGTGGTTAAGTAAGTGAGCTTTATAATGTGTTTAACTGTTTGGTGGTCAATCTTTGTTAACAACCGTCATTCTTGAAGATTTTGACTACAAATTAAAGAAACTTTTCAGTTTTGTGTCTTAATTATCACATCCTCTCTTCAACTCTCTCTATATAAATAAAATTACAAATGCATGTCTATATTTCAACATCACAAAAATAAAAGAAAGAAACTAAAAGCGACAGCCATGGAAAGAAAATCTGATGATCTAGAGTCATACTCCAAGACCAAAATTCAAGAGATGGAGAAGGAACTAGACCAAATGCGTGTGATAATTAAGGAGTTGGAGAAGGATCATCTCATGTCCCAAATCGAAAATGGTTGTAGCCTTGATGACCTTTCTCAAACCGAGAAGGAACTAGACCGGAAGGTAAATAAGGAGTTGGAGATGTCTCAGCTCATGTCCCAACTCGAAAATGGTCGTAGGCTTGATGACCTTTCTCAAACCGAGAAGGATGCTTTAAAATCATATGCAAGTGAGAAGATTACATCTTTGGAAAGACTATTAGGTAAGCAACAGCAACATCCGTCTACAAGTGCCATCAACGAGCCAATTCTTGTGGATGATGATGATGATGATATCCCAAAGGCTGCACATGACGACGTTGCACCTGTAGGGGGACCTTCTTTAAACCCAATGGGAAGGGGGAGTGACTATTTCATGGAAAATTGGTTCTTCGATACTCCAAAACTCCTAAAACATGGAGATGAGACGACTAATTTAACCACAGTGGCATCTCGATTTGACCTGAACATGGTACCTTCTGATGGCGAAGTCCTAAAACATGGAGGTGAGACTAATTTAACCACAGTGGCATCTCGATTTGACCTGAACATGGTACCATCTGATGAGATCATGAAGACCTATGAAGGTCAGAGCAGCAAGTCTGGTGGTGCGGACGAAGCCTAATGAAGCAGCCGTTGAATAATAAAATTAATGTTTCTTGAAATAAAGTTTGTTGTTGTTGTTGTGTCTTTGCATGCATGCTCATTTCATATCTCTAGTTTTTGTTTGTTTATTTACTAATACATGGAAACTAGTATGGAAAATATGAGAAAGCTAATGCATATCTTTATTTGCTAATTTTTTTTTAAACACATCTCTTTACCATTTTCATGAAGCCATTTCAATATTCGCATAATCAAACAATACTAAGAACAAGAGTTGACAGAAAGAAAAAATAAAAACAAAAACAGAGTAAAGTATTACGATGTTGAGAGACGTATATTGACCAAGTTGGTATACTGCAAAGGCCCTGCGTTGTGAGGGATATAAATAGCAGAATCTTGTGGAGTTTCTTCTGCGTCTTTTAACAGACACATCACTGACTCTGATCCTTCTGTCTTCATGTTAGACGACAAACTCATCATGTAACATCTTATCATGACCAAAACTATATAATATACAATAGTTGACATCGTTACATGATGAATGGACGGTTCACCGAGGAGAAGGCTCAGATCCAACGGAGCTGATGTTCACAGTGAAACGTTCTAATGCTCTTCAATGGAGGGCCCGCCTTGATGTCTTCTTTCAATCTCAACATTATCTCTCTGGTAACTTCAGCGTTGTAGGCACTTACTTTGTCACTGTACTACAACTGCTTTAAGAAGCATATTACAATGGTAAACTCATTGACTGATTCTCATTTTTTTGAGTTAAATCCCTGTGTAAATTTTAAGGTGACTTCAAGATATAACTGCACTCACTCAGATATTAAAAACAGTACAATCTAATCATTTTCTTGTATAAGAGCTAGAGAACTTACCTTGACAAAGAACCCACGGGTGAGCATAAATGTCATGACAGTAACTGAAGCCAAAGTTGTAGCCATTCGATTAAGGTAGAGGAATGTGCATCAAAACCGACCCGAAGCAAAGTTTCTCAGACCAAAGTTCAATAACAATGTACCTGACTGATCTTGTAGTCCGAACATCTGACTGCCCCTACACTAGAGAAGACCTAAAATAGACAGATGTGGAGAGACGTACTTGTGTAACACGCAACCAGCTGAAGAATATCAAACATTGAAATACTTTGATGATAATTCACATTTACTATTAAAACAAACAGATAGGAATGAGTTTGCACCAAAACTCGCTAATGAATTAATATCAAACATTGATATCAAATACATTAATATCAAACATTAAATTCGTTTATAACTAATACATGTTCCTGTCCAGCTTATAACTAAACCTCTCTCGTCCTCTTTTCTCTTGTCAACTGCTTTGCTTTCTTGCACTTCGTTTTTGGTGTGTGTGGAAGAGAAAAGAGGACGAGAATGATTGTCTTGTATCTTTGACCCATTGCAATCTTTTTAACATTGTTTCAATGCTATTTATTACTCAATAATTCCTTAGAAAAATGTTTGTGATTTTGAAATTTTACATAAGCTTGCCGCTCTGTTGATATCATTAAAACGGCTTTGTGTGTTTGTATAAACAAAACAATAACATTCATGTGTGTCACTATGCCACAACATCTTAGAATACTATTACAATGGTAAACTGATTGATTGATTCTCTTTTGAGTTATATATATATTGCACTGAGTCAGATATTACAACACAATACAAACTTTAATCTTAATTCTTTTGTATAAGAGCTAGATGTCCAAAGTCATCAAATCATATGGCTAACAATTTTGGAAAGCTCTGATTTTCTGGGCATAGTTAGGTGATTCCGTTTTATTCATCATTACCCACTTAAGTACAGAAAAGAGGTTAGAGTGAATGAAATCTTTAAAATTAGGTGAATATATTAAGACCTAAGCACAGTGTAGTAAACTGGTAAGTGAGCATTATAAGGTGTTAAAGTGTTTGGTGGCCAATCTCTGTTACCAACTATCATTCTCCGAGATGTGGACAGGACATTTGCTAGTAGTTAACACGTAACACTACAACTCAAAGAAACTAGCATGTTGTTGTTGTTGTGTCTTTGCATGCTCATTGTCTTGAAATAAAGTCTGTTGTTGTTGTGTCTTTGCATGCTCAGTGTCTTGAAATAAAGTCTGTCGAATAAGAAAATTATAGTGTCTTGAAATAAAGTCTGTTGTTGTTGTTGTGTCTTTGCATGCTTTTTTTTTTTTTTTTTTTTGAACACGACATAACTTATATTAAAACATTCCACAACATCTAACCATGATGGGGAAACGAGTAGCATTACACAGAGCAAACTTAGCTAGCTGATCAGCAGCAGAGTTAAGGAGTCTTTTGATAAACTTAAAAGAGACAACAGTAAAAGTAGAGGATAGATGTTCGACATCCTGGATGATTCCATCTTTGCATGCTTTCTTGTTGAATTTTGATTGATTCTCCCACACATAACAGCTTCTCAGTAACAGATATTTTCTTATTTTTGAAACTTGTTATCCTCCTTTTTTTTTGCAAATAGAAAACTAATAATTAAGGGTATATTCTCTCATTTTCCAAAAGTCTTATTCCAAGCAAATCTCATTTCCAACAAATTAGTAGTGTTGAATTTCTTTTTTCTTTTTAATCTTTGATATGTAAATCCTCTTGGAAATTTCCCATTTAAGCTCCACTTATTATTTTAGCTTGTCATATAGCTTATTGCTTCAATATTTATTATGATTTATATGACTAACATGAACAATATCAAGCTTATTAAAACTCTCGATATCATTATAGAACATCCATCTTCCCCATGGAAAAACATCCAAACTCGGTCCATGGGTCGGCGTTGAATTTCTGATGTCTGATTAATTCAATCTTTTAGCCTCGTCCATATCATCAATATTGTGTTGTATCTTTGACCCATCGCAATCTTCTTAATATTGTTTCAATACTATTACTCGTTGATTCCTTAGTAAAATGATTGGGTCATGTTTACATGTTTGTGATTTTGAACTTTACATAAGCATTACAATGGTAAACTGATTGATTGATTCTTTTTTGAGATATATATTGCACGATCAGTCAGATATTACAACACAATACAACCTCTAATCTTAATTCTTTTGTATAAGAGCTAGATGTCCAAAGTTGTCAAATCATATGGCTAACAATTTTGGAAAGCTCTGATTTTGTGGGTATACTTAGGTGATTCGGTTTTATTCATCGTTACGAACAAAACTACAGAAAAGAGGTTAGAGTGAATGAAACTTTAAAATTAGGTGAATATATTAAGACCTAAGCACAGTGTGGTAAACTGGTAAGTGAGCATTATAAGGTGTTAAAGTGTTTGGTGGCCAATCTCTGTTACCAACTATCATTCTCCGAGATGTGGACAGGACATTTGCTAGTAGTTAACACGTAACACTACAACTCAAAGAAACTTCAGTTTTTGTGTCCTATATATAAGATTACAAGGGCATGTCTATATTTCAACATCTCAAACTAAAAGAAAGAAAAAAAAATTGAGTGATCTCATACCTCATTCTCAAGACCCAAATCATAAAAGATGGATGAGGAGGAACTAGACCTAATGCGGGAGATAATTAAGGAGTTAAAGAAAGAACTAAAAGCGAGGCCCATGGCAAAAAAACCTGTGGATGTAGAGTCAAACCTCAAGACCAAAATCAAGAATGTGCAGGAGGAAGTAGCCCAGATTCGGAAGGGAAATAAGAAGTTGGAGATGTCTGAAAAGCTTGCAAGTGTCACCAACGAGGCTGCAGATGTTGCACCTGAAGTAGGGGGACCTTCTTTCCGCCCATCTGATGACACGAAGAAGACATATGAANAGAGTCAAACCTCAAGACCAAAATCAAGAATGTGCAGGAGGAAGTAGCCCAGATTCGGAAGGGAAATAAGAAGTTGGAGATGTCTGAAAAGCTTGCAAGTGTCACCAACGAGGCTGCAGATGTTGCACCTGAAGTAGGGGGACCTTCTTTCCGCCCATCTGATGACACGAAGAAGACATATGAAGGAGGGAGCAGCAAAATCAAGAATGTGCAGGAGGAAGAAGACCAGGAAAATAAGATGTCTGAGCTCACGTTCCAAGTGGTGAATGGTGAACGTCGCATTGCTGACCTTTCTCAAACCGAGTTGTTTGATTTAATACCATACATAGAAGAGAAGCTTGCATTGTTGGGCTGGGTCGTATAAGAAAATTATAGTGTCTTGAAATAAAGCATGTGGTTGTTGTTTCTTTGCATGCTCAGTGTCTTGAAATAAAGTCTGTTGTTGCTGTGTCTTTGCATGCTTTCTTGTAGTTGATTTGGTCAAGCTTGGGTCATGTTTCTTGTTGTTGTGTCTTTGCATGCTCAATGTCTTGAAATAAAGCATGTTGTTGTTGTGCTTTGCATGCTCATTTCATATTTCTTGTTGTTGTTTTGGTCAAGCTTGGGTCATGTTTCTTGTTGTTGTGTCTTAAACCTAAATAATGGAACGTTTATTTGCTAATATATATGGTCCACATGCTTCACTCCTGACACAGAATCCCCCCTAGCTCTCCGCCGGTATAGCCGTCCAACCACCATCTTTGTTAACCGGTAAAAGCTAGTTAAATATGACAAATCTTCATTATATGTGTTTCCTTTTTTTAATTTTTTTTATATTTCTCATCAGTTTAACTTGTACCTTCCTACCTAAGCACCATCACATTGGCCGCAGAATATTCTTCTTTCTTCTTTTTAAGACGCAATACTCTTGCTTTTGACAATGACAGATCTCGTTACAGATATGTTCACGTATTTGACTTATTAGTCTATTTAGGTACTACAAATATTCAGACATTATTATTATTATTATTCGTGATTGAAATTATATGTTATCATTTACGCTACAAGAAACTCACTAACACATCACAACAACAACAAAAATGACAAACTTCAAGGACCTTTTCTAACAATCATGGATATATATACATAAACATGATGAGTAACGGCTACAGATAAACAACATCAGTTACTTACTACTTAGAAAATGACTCTTTCGTGTTCCCCAG